GGGGGGGGGGGGGGCGCATAACACCTTTTTTGTTGGAAAGAAGAGACCGTTCTCGTCTGCCATAACACTCAGGTCGACAGAATAGTGAGCATACGTGTAGCGAGATCCCTCTCTAGTGTGTGTCTTTCAGTTCCTTGAGCGCGTAACCACCCTTCCTCGGTAACAGCGTCCGGTCGCTATGACTCCGTGTTAGCGCGAGGTTTGGCAACTCGTCTCTAGGCCGGGTACTCCGGGATCTCTAATATCTACCTTCGGGGTTGAGGAGACTTTTGGGAGCGTTCGGTCGCTGAGGGCGAGGAGGGACCTTCCTCGCGGATCACGGAAGTCCTCCATATCAGAACAGCCCGATTTACAACGGTCGTGGGGGTCACTGCAGCCCGCCTGACCTACCACCACCGAGGAGCAGCAGCGGGGAACACCGTCAGCGACGTGGGTCGCTAACGGGGGGACGGCTCGCGGGACGAATACCAGGACACATACGCCGACGGCAAGGCGGGTTGCACAAGATCCAGGCACCTTCGAGTTCGGCACGTCACACCGCTGGCCAGGTGGGTCGCTGGAGGCACCACCTTGGACCGACGAGGGACTCAACCACGAGGCAGGACAAGAAGCCTCCCCGCGCAAGCACCGTGCGTGCACCGAGGATCCGGAAGGGCTCCTTCGGTGACAACAGGTCACCAGGAGCGCAACTCCAACTCCGCCCGAAGGGGCGCGGGGGAACTAAGCGTCAAGCCCACACCCATACTAAAGGGTATTTCGCGCACCCTTCGCGCAACAGCGAACCGCCGACCGTTCGTAGCGCGCATATCAAGCCTTTCCTACAGGCACCGCGACTGTAGGCGAAAGGGACGAAAGGGCTCGTTCGGTGAAGGCCGCCGCCATTTAGCGTCAGTACGCTCTCGTACCATCCACGAGGGCGCTTTCGACCCGGACGGGTCCCCCACGTGGCGTACGGCGCCGCGCGACTGTCCAGTGCGTCAACTCTCCACCGAGTAGGCAATTGAATCGGCGCTCGCTCCACCAACCTATTTGGACGTCCGTAACGGATACAAATTTATATATACGCGCGTTTCGGACGCGCGAACTGTCATGCCAAGCGTCGTATACTTCTAGTTTAAGTCGATATGAACGAAAAAGTGTTCTACTATCTTGCAGATAACTACGCAAAATTTTGTGTTAATTATTGAAAATATCCATGCATAGAGACTTCTTTAATTAATGAGTAAAAAATTTTCGTGATTACTTGCAAAATGGTGAATGTTTCTTTTTTGGTTCAGAATGGCTTAATCTTCATGTATATGACAGCTGTTATATCTAGCAACATATATGTAAATATATATAGTAAATAAATATATATAAATATATTTGAGATGATAAACATAGCATATTTAAATATATCAGAAATATAAATATGGGAAGTGAAATCGGATCGATGAGGCAACGACGAAATCTGGACAGGTTCTAACGAAAACGTCAAGGAAAATATCTCTCTCTCATCGTTTATCTCGCGCCATAAAATAAACCTCCATAAACGGACCTTTTACGACGCTACCGGCCTTGCACGCGGAGCTTTCTTCGACTCGGAATAATTATGTAAAATTACGACCACGTGCGCTCTTACTCACCGTTATTTCTCGCCATCTCTTTTTCGCACGCGCGCTTAAGTCTTCAAGTTCTCGCGATTCGATTTTAGCGATTTAGCATTATTCTTCGCTGATTTTCCAGTCGCGGGCGTTAACTCGCGTAAATGAGTAAGCGTGCGCGCCCTGCGTGCGTTTGCGCAGCTCCGCGTTAAACGCGCCGGCGGTATAAATAATAACGCACAGCACGGCGTAGGATAAATATTTACGAGAAAGGCGCAAAGTGCCTGCGACCGGTTTATGCTGCTCGGCGATTGTTTCGCCTCGCGAACGCAGCTTACAACGACCGGGCGTAAAATTACTCGCGTTGCAGCGCCATCGGCAGCCGGCCACCTTCCAAAAAGGAAGACGACTGTTCAAGGAGACGACGGCCTAAAGGTTTCCAAAACCGGTCGACCTTGCTGCTCTCTGATCGCGTCCTGACGATCCCACTAATCAATCATTGGCTATCGACCTCGGTCGAAGGTTATGACGCAATCGACTGATCGATCGATCGGCGAAAATGACCGCGTTTACCTGCTGGCCGTCGCTAACTAGGCGCATCACGTCACGTTGTTTGACAACTCGACGGGAATACGTGAATTTAAAAGAACCGAGGACGCGAGGGTCGCGCGAGAGTTTCGTAATCGAAACCGCATGAGAGATGATATATGTAAGAAGAAAAAAAAAAAGAAACACGTGAAGGACAAAGTGCGAGAATCTGTCTGAAGTGCAATTGTTGTACAATCAGTCGTCAATCAACGGATCAAGTAAGATCGGTGATTTTTTTTGTGAACCATATCAGGGTCACATATGTGCGACAACATCATTTCTTTTCTACACTCTATATATAAAACAAAAAAATCCTATTTGATATGATTGTATAAGGGCAAATATAATATAGTCTGTGGGGATCATTCGTGAAATAAATCGCGATAAACGAATATATTAAGAGAATAAGAACAAAAAGGAGCCAAAAGTACGAAGATACGAGAGATATAGGATGTAGCTTTCATTTCGAAACGAGATGATTATCTCATTTTACATACGAGATTAAATTCTTGTTGGTTCTTCGTCCCTTTTGCATTCGTTATAACCAAGAGAGAGACAGGATTGCGAGCATTGGATTTATTCTCGGAATCACGTCTCTCTTTTGCGCGCGCTATCGTCGAATCTCTCTCCTCTATCCAAAGCTGCCACCACTCGGAATATCTTAATTAGCATCTCAATTATAGTAATTATATCGAGAATGTCTCGTCTTTGACAACCTCTCTCAACGGCTTTTCCTCTCTTCAGGGGCAGCCGTGGCGATCGGGGTCCTGTTGATAATCCTGGCCGTCGTTCTGGCAATACTATTTCCGAATCTTATCGACCTGGTCCTGGACAAGGAGCTCGTGATACGGGATGGCGGTCGCACGTACACGTGGTGGAAGGAGCCGCCGGTGGTGCCCCGTATGCAGCTTTACATTTACAACGTGACGAACGCCGACGAGTTCCTGAACAACGGCGAGAAACCGGCGCTGCAGGAGCTGGGCCCGTACGTTTACACGCAGCACTGGGAAAAGACGGACATCAAATTCAACGACAATGGGACCGTTACTTATAAGGTCAAGAAAACGTTCGTCTACGCACCGGTAAGTTCCCGGGCCCGGCGGAACGGCGATTTACGGCGTTAGTCAATTGCGACGTCAACGATCCGGGTCTTAACTGTTTGGCAAATCGACCACACGATAATTTCTGGAGCACATACAGTGGTTTCCGTAGCAGCCGGTCTCCTTTCAACACGCGTTGTCGTATCGATATTACTGACGTATTGAGTGTAATTCAAATACATTCCCGAACGCGTCATATTGCCTCGTTAATTTCTTTTTAATTTATATTTTGACACTCTCTGAAGTATTGGTTATTTACTTCAATAGAGATATCAGCAATTTTTTCCTGATTTTGGTTTTTGTTGCTATTTCTTGATATATATATATACATATATATATATATATATATATACATCAATCTTTTCAATTTTACTATGTTTTCTAGTAATACAGGAATTAGTGCCGAAGGTTACAATGGAATTTATCATCACGATTTTAATTATTACGATGAGAGATATTATAACCAGGACAACTATTTTTCTAATAAATATTATGATAGTGTAATTTTTCTAGTAAATATTATCACAGTGTCAGTGATGATAACTTCATATGCACATCGCTGCTACTATTTTTGCGGTTGAAACCACAAGGAAGAGTAGTTGAGGCCGAAAATGACTGCAATTTCTCTCAGTGCGTTTTGTAAAATAAAACGCGAAGGGTGCTCGACCTTTCCACTGCACGAACATACTCGAGGCACGTTTCCTCCGAGACAAAGTAGCAAGCAGCGAGAAGCTACCTCGCGGAAAAAGTGTTTGATTATCATTCGAAACGACGCACGTCTCTCGGTCGCTCGGGATGTATTGCGCGTAATCGACGATCGTCGGTTTATCGAGAAACGCGGACACCCGGAATATCGACCGGTTACTGAGAAAAAGAAAATGAAAAAAAACAAGAGTCAGCAAGAATCTCTCGCGGTGCTCTGAATGGCAATCGCGCACGCGTCTCTCCGTGTTATTTGAAAATCAGCCATAGGTGTGCTCCTTGTGCGCGGCCGAGCGCGAGCTATTCTTGTACGCGCATCGGAATCACCGCGAGGTGACTTTCTACGCGCGTCAGAGAAACGCTTCCACACATAGCCGGGCGTACTAATACGACTCTCAGTAGCAAGAGAGAAAACATGAGCGTTCCTGCCTCGCCGGAAACGTAATCGGAATATTCATAAATCCGCGGAAGTTATTTACATTACGACTTACGTCAAACTTTTTACTCGCTGCTACGCGGTTAATGTTTCAAGTTTCAGCTTACAGCTGCCTCTTCTCATATGTTGCGACTCTTCAAGTTTTACATCTTTTGTTGAAATTCTAATGCAGGACTCTCCTATTTCTAAAGACCTCTCACTCTCTTCTTTTCTTCCTTTTTTTTTCACCTTTCTCTCTCTCTCTCTCTTCTTTTCTACAAATTTCTTCCGAACCCTCGTCGTGCACTTTCACGATCTTCTATTTTAAGCCCCCCTTCGTCCAAACCGCTTGCTTGACTTAATGACTCAAGCCGGGCCTCTCATTTCTTTCTTTCTCCCGTTGTGGAATTTCAGGAGCTGTCGACCGGCTCTGAGGAGGATCTGGTGGTTGTGCCGAATGTTCCTATGCTATCGGCCACCAGCCAGTCGAAGCATGCCGCCCGATTCCTGCGTCTGGCGATGGCGTCCATCATGGACATCCTGAAGATCAAGCCGTTTGTTGAGGTGTCGGTCGGCCAGCTGCTCTGGGGCTACGAAGATCCTCTGCTGAAGCTGGCCAAGGACGTGGTGCCTAAGGAGCAGAAGCTGCCGTATGATCAGTTCGGTCTATTATACGGCAAGAACTCCACCATGCCGGACCTTTACACGATATTCACGGGTGCGAACGACATCACCAAGTTCGGAATGATGGACAGATGGAATGGTAAGGATGGCTTGGGCCATTGGACCACGCAGGAATGCGACTCCGTGATGGGCACCGACGGCAGCATATTCCCGCCGCACATCACCAAGGAGACGGTGCTAAAAGTCTTCGAGAAGGACCTCTGCAGGACGTTGCCGCTGGTCTATCAGGTACGCTTCATTAGTCGCAACTAATATTCATTGTTTTTATGATGTAAACGAGAATAAAGGATAATTATCTTATCGAAGCGTCGAGCTCTGAGTAATTTTTCCGGTGAGATCTCACAGGATACGAGTGTAATTACGAGAAAGAACTAAGAACATGTTCGTTTTTCAGGAACCTACACGTGTCTGTTGCTTTTTTTATTAATTAATGTTTCTGGTATTAGTAATATCGATCCTACTGCGTTGTTACATCGTGTAGATAATTATTTGTTTCGCATGAGATGAATTAAAGCCTACGCGATTGATTGATAGTAAAATGCGGTATTCACGCTGTACGGAAGAGAAAAATCTCGGGTAGGAATTTAGAATAATAGTGATAATAATCGATTCACCATAAGTCTATGGTAAAAAGCGTCTCCTTTTCTTCTTAACTTTGTTGTCGCATCGAGTCCAGATCTAGATTTTGCCGGCGCTCCTCGACACATTTCGTCTTTTAATTCCTTTCTCTTCGTCCCGTTCGAATCTCCAGATCCTATCGAAATTTCTAACGTTCCCACTAAAATCTATCAAAATATAACGAAAACATTAAAACGAAAGGATGAATTGTATTTATCCGTTTATTTTTAAGTTTCAATAAGGAGGAGCTTTGATTCCTATCGTCGTATCTTCGACTAAAATTCCGAACGTTCCTTCAGCACGACGTGGTATCCGCGGGGGATGTTCCCGGCTACAGATTCTCGCCTCCGACGAACGTCTTCACCACGGTGGAAAATCTGCCGTCGCAGCAGTGCTTTTGCCCGGCCGGGCCTCCTTGCGCGCCAGAAGGAACGTTCAACGTCTCTTTGTGCCAGTACGACTCGCCGGTTCTCCTCACTTTCCCGCATTTCTACCTTGGTAAGTAGCACGCGCATGGCTTTCTGGAGAGCGCCGTTGATGAATCGTCTGCAACTACTAGGAAACTACCTACGATCAGAGAGAGAGAGAGAGAAAGAGCAAAGACTCGGGGCTCGATACCTCGATCATTGAAACATGCAACCAATGCGAAAGAAGGAGATGGCGTAGTTGTTGAGCAAGCGACGGCGAATCTCGCGTCTCCCAGCTGCTGCTGTTGTTGTTGTCGTTAGAACTGGTATCGCGCGAATTTCCTCAATCATGACGCGATATACATTGTTCGATTCTCTTGACGTAACACCGTTGCCTGATCTGTAATTCATCGACGTCGGTCAGCGGAGAACCGATCTCCGTCCGGATCGGTCGCGCGATTCTAAAATGTATCGGCTTATTACGCAATTCGCGTCACATATAATCCGTGTTGCAATTATTTCTATATTAATATTTCGCGCACGACGCGTCGCTCTCTATGTAGAGGTTTCTCGCACGGTTCTCCTGTGCAGATTCGCGCCGCTCACACGATCGTTCGCATCGCCACTTCCTGGATGCTGCTAACGAGCTGTAGGTCGACCTGACGTCTCGCCATCTCGCCGTTCTTTACGTGGAAAAGCGACCGTCTGATCGGTCGGTCGGTCGATCGGTCGGTCGGCCGGTTTCGCGAAGATCGTTGCAATGCGTGCCGGTTTCGTAAGCGAGACCTACCTGTCGCGCCACTTCCGGCTTCGCGAGACTGCCGAGTACAATCTCGAGTCGGTTTTACCACGAGGCCCCGATTTCTTTCCTCTCCTCGTAAGCGCACAATCCCTCTATCTATTTCTCTCTCTCTCTCTCTCTCTCTTTTCTTCCTGTTCGCCGCGGAAAGCCGCGTGATTCTCCCACGAAATATTACACCGACTCTCCCGTCGCTTTATTGTCGTATTGTACAAATCTCCCGTGTAGATGTAGCTTTTACTCTCGATTTCCGGATTTCAAGAGCCCCCGAGATCTCACCGATGACGCAGTTTACGCGTCTACCACTAGTAATAAAAATAGTATCTTTTCCAAAATGATGGGGTTTTTCCGGAAAACTCCGAAGAAACTTGGTTTTTTCTCAAAGGTAATTTTTCCGGAAATTTGTGAACACTTAATACCAAATATCGTACATTTTTCTCTCAGTGCAACGAAAAATTCAGTTACACCAATGATTTATGAATTACTTTTTTTTGTATGGCGACTTATGAATTATTCTTTACGCGTTATCTGCCGACAATGCACGCATGCCATTGGCACACGGGAGATATTCGATTCCGAATGTATTGAGCGGATTGTGCGTGGATAAGACCTGGCGGATTAAGTAGAAAATAATATAGATGCAAATTCCCCTCGAGGAGAATTCGCGACCGGGTGTCTCTCGACGACGTGAAAGGAAGGATCGAGCATCTCGAGTTTTATGTAAGTTCGTCAAGTTTTCCACAATAATACTCGCTCGGCTCCTTTCGCCGCGCGTTTACATTTTTGCATGACGCGTCTGAAGTGGATTAATCGTGGATAATTAACGACGTCTCTCTCTCACGTAAAAGCGACGGTGACGGACGGTGGAAGTCCGTCAATCACGAACGCGAGCGCAAAAAGGTGCGAACAAGATCGGCAAATTCCGCCTTTTGACGTCATTGCCGTGTAATTGTATTTGCGTGTAACTGGCGATGGTTCGCGTTTTGAAAGACAACATTAAAGAGTCTTAAGTGCGATTCTTGGACCGCTCGGCCGGCGATTAAGCGCTTAACTTAATGCGCCGCATTACATCCGTGTGTTATGAATAATCGTACAGAGTGACTTTTGACACGATGAAATAACATCATTATGTAAGAGTATGAGCGTAGCGTCTACGTTGATTTTTGCATCTTTTTTCTTCTTCTCCGGCTTTTCCTTCTTTTCCATTGTTCATTAGCCGTGTCGGGTAGAAGAACTATTGTCGGTGCGGATATAAATCGCCGTTCCATTGGATTCGCGTGATAATTGAAACGTAAAAAGAAAACAATGAAAAATGATCAGGTGATTCCCGAACTGAATGGCCGAGCAATGTGTGAAAAAAAATGCCGATCGAAAAGAGAGAGAGAGAGAGAGAGATTCGCAAGCACCTTTACGGTCCTGTCAAAATATATAATTTTCTACATTTCCTTTGATGCATGGAACATTTTTTATCTTTTCTCTTTACTCATTTGATATTCCTGCACACGGCAATGTAACAATATTGTTACAGCGATTTCTAAGCCCCAAACATTCTTCTCTATTGTATTCTAGAGAGTGTCCGAACACAGCAAAGATTCTTGGTATATCTACTACGCGCCAGTAAAACTGTTCTGATCGAACTGTTTTCGACAAATGTTTATTTTCATGTTTGTTACCATTTTGCGTAACATTATCGTCTCGAAAAAGCTATACGACTGCTGCAAATACAATCTTATCGAAGTTTATTTATCGGGGGCGTTCGTGCTCTCTTGTGGTTGCCCAACAATTTATGTAACAAAAATAATAACAACAGTAATCTTTACAACGTATAAAAGTAACACACACACACACACGCACGCACGCACGCACGCACGCACGCACGCACGCACGCACGCACACACACACACACACACACAGAGAGAGAGAGAGTGAGATAGAGAGTAAGTTAGAATTTCAAGAAAACATTCTAAAGTCAAGGCGACAGCTGAACTTTATCAAGCTTGTGCAGAATGATGCGTAGATATTATATTTTGGGAATTGAAGACATCAGAGTAGGTGAAATTTACAAAGTTATCGAGGACAAGAGGCAACAACGGGGCAATGACGGCAGAGTCGACGGAAAGAGTTAAGCGATTTTGCTGAGTGTTGGGTTAAAATCGCTTCACAGCAACGTAGGTGAAAGCAACCTCGTATTTTGAGGTGCGATAAGATGGGAAGGAGAAAGAAAGAGAGAGAGAAGATTAGTGCAGATCAATATCACGAATTTTTTAACATATCTCATAATATTCTAAAAGTCAAATTAAGTAGATTCCTATTTGAAAACGTTTCTTTAGATCAATTTGAAAAATTGTTTTTTCTTTTCAACAATCACGCTTTTCGCCGGTGATCAGTTTCGATCAATTGGCCTCTTCTTCGCTCGCTTGTCATTCGTTTCGTTTCTCACCACGCACGTTTTTCTTTCTCGTTTCTTTCACAGCTGACCCGGCTCTAAGAGAGGCCGTGACGGGCATATCGCCGCCGGATCCCGAGAAGCACCAGCTCTACATCGACGTGCAGCCGATAATGGGCACGGCTATGAGAGCGCGCGCACGGGTGCAGATAAATCTGGCGGTTAGCCAGGTGCGAGACATCAAGCAGGTCGCCTCGTTCCCCGACATCGTTTTTCCCATTATGTGGTTCGAGGATGTAAGTATAAGCGCGAGCGAGCGCTCGTTGCGGCGAGCTCATTGCAGCGTAATTGTCCGATCCGAGGACGATTATCCGCGCAGGCGCGTCGTTCATCGATGTCTCTCTTCTATATAAAGTTGCCGTAATGACAATAATTGTATAATAACATATAATGATACAAAGAGCAACGTCTGTCTCTCTCATTACGCGCGGTAAACGTCTCTTAAGTGCGTTATACACAGGAGTTTTCCATTAAGAGGTTTCACCTTTAAATTTTTCGCGCCACTTTTAACCCATTAAAAATAGAACTATCGTTCCTTAACACAGCTAACAGGCAATAAGTATACGGTTAACGAAAAAAGAACGATATACTCTTCGGCAACGTACGGAAATTGTGAAAATTCGCTACAAAATTGGTGAAAATTTCGCGTTTGGGTCAAATTAGTGATGTAAAGACGTGGTGCGAGATTTCCTCGAAAAAGTGACCATTTGTTAAAAAAAGTCGAGGCGGCCATTCATCAGATATCGTGTTCCGCACTTAATCGTACAGTCTCTGTACTTTGCATTGGAACAACAATATCACCACTTCTTCCAAAAAAGAACTTTGTTTTCTAATAATTCAAAATGAAACCTTTTAATGCGGAAAACTCTGTATATATCATTGTATCTCTCGCAAATAATTAACAATAACGAGTATAGTCGACGTCCTCGACTCGGCTCGGAAAGGATTCGTTTTTTCTTCCCTTTTTTCTATCGTCTTTCGCGTCAGATGATTGAGAAGTTTTTTATGCAAATCATCGGGCCGATCCGGAAGCCGATTCGATGATCAAGTCGCGACGCGGCTTTCGGCAATTATGTGATGACGCAGTCGGTAGAGCTCATGTTTTTATCGAAACTCACCGTGTGTGAATCAGCGCGTTTCCCCGAAATTATTAGTCTAAACGTGCGTCTAAATCGCATCGAACGGAAAAACAGCGCGGCTGTATCGTATTCGCACTTCAAGCAGCAGGAATATAAATATTTATACCGAGGAGCAAGGATGACCACTTTTTTATGGCCCGTGATCGCGCTGTTTTCAACGACAAAAAAAGAAAAGAAAAAACGCCGTAAGAAAAGCGTTCATGGCGTTCTATCGTTAGATCAGCTAACGTTGTCTAGATTTCAGTAATATTATACTAATCAGCGGCATCGATGTAAGACGCGAGATGTTCGCTGCGCACATGTGTATGCGATTTTTTGTCGCTCGTTTTTCCTTTTTCCTTGCGCGCGCGTTTATAAGTGCGAGGAAGCGCGCCGATTTTGCGCGTTCGGCACGCCGCCCCGGCGTTTCCATCCACCGGAGATGAAGAGGAAACGATGGTAGACGAAGTCCTCGAAATGAAGAGCGAAAAAATTGTTCTCTTCCTCCTTCCCTCCCTCTCTCTCTCCTTCTCTCTCATCCTCTCTTTCTCTCTCTATTTCTGCAGCGAATTTAACGCGCCGCATCGGCGGGCAGCTTGACGAAAATAAACGAAAAAAATCGATTTCTCGTTCTCGCGTGTGGAATTAGCGAACCAGTGGTCAAACCAGATTTCGCGTATATTAGCCTTTCACGCGGTGGACAAACACTCTCGAGGCTCTCCCCGACGCCGGAGGACGTTGCATCGCGCGCGCGCGAACGCCGTCGAACTCTTTATTAGTCCGGTGTCCCGGCCGCGCCCGCAAGAGGAGGTTCCATTAATATGAATCACGGGTTAAATGCGCGCGGGTCGATACCGGCATTACGTGCACGGTAATTCAAACGTACGCGTTCGCGAACGCGCAAACCAAGAACAACAGGCACGTTCTCGCCATTGTCGTCGTCGTCGGGCGGAAGGGAAAAATAAAATTTCACCTGTAGACCGGCCAGCGAGAAGACGACGACGACGATTTGTAAGCGCCACGCGGCACTCCATCGTTCAGTAACGTAGCCAAACAAGAGAGCAGACCACCTCGCGTGGCGCTGATTATTCACGAGGAGACGAAACCTGACGCGGCTTCCAAGTATTCGGACATTCGTTTTGTCCGGATACGTTCTTTTTTGTACACCCCATAGTTTGGGAGATATTCGCAGAAAATGAAAGGGATTCCTCCGTTTCCGACGGACGTTGTTGCTCGACCCTTAAACGCCGAGATATAGGCGCGTAGAAGAAATATAGCTCGAATATTTCTTCGCTGTCCAACGACATATTTCAAATCCAAATCAGCGAGGAACATTTCTGTAAGGTAGTCCCTTACAAAGTCGAAACTTCCTACAGGGATCTTCCTGTTCCTACAAACTGAGTTTTCACCTGGTCTCCCCCCCCCCCTCCTCAGGCAACAGAAAATTCAGTTGCACCAACTCCCAGTTGTCTTTACCCCGTGAAATAATAAAATTTTACAGCACGATGCGTGATTCACCGGAAAGTCCTCCGCTCAGGTCACACTCGGTCACAACACCTCGATGACGAGCCTTTCTCTATTTTCTGTTCGCAGTGCGTTGACGAGCTTCCCCCGCAGATGCGCTCCCTGTTGAAGCTGGCCGTTGAACTACCGCCGATAGCCCGCGCCACGGTGTCCGGGGTGCTCGGGGCGCTCGGCGTTATCATCCTGCTGGGCGCCCTGATGTGTCTGGCGCGTGCTGCTAAGCGCCAGGAGAAACTGCACCTCAGCAATCCGCTGCCGGCGAACGCGACCAACACCAAGAACGGCCAGCTGAACCCGGCCTTCCAGCACTCCAAGTAGTAGGATGAGACGTAAGAAGATATGTACGCGTGAGGATCGTGGGGATCGACGAGAGAGAGTGCGAAACGCGCGCTCTCTGAACTTCTCGCGGGCTGGGATCTCGCTCGAAACACATGAGAAATGGCGGGGTGTTTTTTCACACGAATCGATAGTGTGAAAGTAACACCGATATCAAGCGAGAGTGAAGGTTTTCATTTTCGAGTAGCTTCGAGTGAATCCCGACGTCCGAACATGTCAATCGGTCGGAGTGAATATCAGATTGTATATCAGATTCGCGGTTCCAAATTAAGTTTCAAGCGACAATATTCGCTCGACGATTCCGAACGGAGAATTTATTCTGTATGAGTGAAAAGTCGCTCGAACTCGAAGAACTCGGTGGCCACTCTACGATCGGTATTCACAGTCAGGTTTTATATTTAAGATGATCTAATTTCTTCTTCTCAGGCGCACCGCACACGGGAAGAAATTTAGTTCTCACAACTGAATAAAAACCAGATGGAAACTCGGTGACAAAATATAATATCTTTGTTACCGTGATCGAGCGTATTCGGCCTCATCGGTGAACATTCAGCCTCGTTAAAAGCCTCGCTTGAGATAATATTGAGCAATGAGGCCGAGCAGAAATCTTTCACAGGAGTTTTCCCTATAAGCGCGTAATATTCCTAGAATATTATATGAATATTATTAAATATTAAAATAATATTTTTATAATATTCTAAGAGTGTTACATAATATTTTTTAATGTTATAAGAATGTTCTATTAATAAAACAATTGGTGTTGCAATACATTTGAAATAAAAACTGATTCACCAAGCAAGTTGTTCGTTCCATGTAGTCAATGAAACGGCCTATACAAGATCATAAGATGAGCTTGAGACGATCTTGAATACAAGATCGGATTGATGAATACCGTTTCGAGCGAGATTTCATTGCGAGAAACTTAGAGAGCGCGTACCGTTATCCGTCCACCCGGCTCGCGCGACGATCGGCGCGCGCGTGCGTATCGTACGCGAGTTTGCGCGCGAGTGATGTCGCGAGGACTTGTACGATAATCTAATTACCTTCCGTTTAGGTTTAGGCGACGGGCATGCTTTACTATTTTGTTTTAGGATCTATGTATTTCACGTGTATCTTAGGACATGTGTCCACGATTTCCTAGATTTCGATCCGAGTTGTTGTTGGCCGGGCATAAAAGTTACTGGCAGAAAAATTAATTAAAATTACTAACACTTGCAAAATTCTCTAGGATAGCCGTTTATATCCTGCCAACAAACAACTCAGGCCGAGATTTGACATCGTGGACTTAGCTCTTGTTCTCGCGACGGCGAGGAAAAGAAAAGTGAGGGAAGGTGGAAGAGAGGACGACGACGAGCCTCTCTTTCTGTCTTGCGCTGTGAGAACTGCTGCGCCGATAGAAGACAAAAAACGTACGATGGAAAAAAGTTGCTTGGATTATTCGTGTTATGCCCGTTATACACTGTGGATTAAGATTGAGATTGGGTTGAAATTGATCGATCGGAGCAAGTTTAACTAAACTTGAGTTCAATGAACTTTGCTTAGATTCGTCAAATCACAATCCAATCTCAATCCTAATCCGTAGCGTATAACGGGCATTACGCGTGTTTCCTCCCCGGTTCCCGTATTTTTACGGATAGTCGGCTCCTCGCGTGACCACAAATTAATTACAAAGGACGGTTGTCGCGCTCCGGCCCGGTGACAGCCATATATGCGCATAATATTCTTAGAATATTATATGAATATTATTCAATATTGAAATTAATATTCTTATAATATTCTAAGAATGCTATGTGATATTTTTTGATATCCGTGTTTGTCGAAATTTTGTCGCAGCCACTCGCGCAGCTAAGCTCGAAATCAGACTCCGTCCGAATGTGAGGCCACCCGGAATCGCAAGACACACCTCGACAAAAGTCAGAATTTATGAGAATCTCTTTTTATCTTTTTTTTTTTATCATCGCCAAGTAAAGGTCGAGAATCCAAAGTTTATTGGCGAGATTCTTCTTCCGGTGCGACGTTTGACCGGATATTATCGAGACAACGACGACGAGGAAAAAAACACTCGGTCGGCGCGGTTAAGTCATTCCTACGAGGGATTTCGTTACGTTGAAATTTACAGTCGGCGTCTTCTTCGGCCGAAACATTCTTAAATGCTAATTAGACACTCCCCCCTCCGTCATTCGGGGTCGCATTTCGGGAGGGGGTTCCACATCGGGTCGTTTAATTGCGGGACACAATACGGACGATTATCGCCGCGAATACTTATGCAAGATCGAAGATGATACGAATTAATATTCCGTCCAAGACGCCAGGATTGAGCGTCCGAGGCCAAGCCTTGTCGGCGACTTCGGTCCGCGTTGTCGTCGTCGCGACGACGACGAAAATAAGGAAGCCGGCGAGAGATGCGAACAGATCCGCGCAGCGCGCGGTGCAATAGTAAATCGAGGGAAATTCTTTTTGTAAATACAACACTTGGCCGTCGTTATCGTCTTACCGATGATTATGTAATTATCACGAGTGTACTATTTCCCGTTAATCGTTTGTACACATGTATTACTATTATATTTTATTATTATTATATTGTTATTATAAATAATATTAACTGTGCGTAGATTGTATTATTGATTAGATTTAAAGTGAATTTACTTTTGTATGATAGAAATCAAAAGATGCCAAATGAATTGCGCGCGTGCGCGAATTATCGGATTATCGGTGTCACTGTAATATCGTTATGTGTATGGTTGTAATTTTCTTTTTCGGCATATGTATTTTATTAGACTAACATTTTCGCGCGTACACATATATATATATATATATATATATATATATATATATGTATATATATAAAACTTTGTATAAGAGGAGGAAAATATAAGACGCGCGATCGAGAAAGAGGGGAACCGATTTCGAGCGAATTCTTCCCTTTTGTCTCACGAAAAAAAAAAGAAAGAATTAGCTTCCACAGTTCAAAACAAGCTACTCGTATGATGACAATTGAAATTCAATTGTCAGATCTAATTTTTAGCTACAGATGCTAATTCTTACGACTGTAGTCGCACACAGTTGCAACTAAATAGTCACGCATGGAAGAAAAGAATTAACCCTCACAGCTAAGAACTGAAATCTGGTAATTAAAAATCTCAGTTATATCGTACGGATAACTAATTTTGAACTGTTTGTAATTAATTTTTTCCGTGCTTCCGTGAGATTTCCCTCCTCTTTCGAGCGGACAAATTTCGCGGATCTCTTCGTTCTCCCTCCCTCCCTCCTTCCTTCCGCGGGGAGGAGAACAAAAAAGATCGGAGAAGGTGCGCGAGGTGGATGTGTAAGAGAGGCGGAAAAGAAAGAATAAATGTGGTAGAAGGAAATTTCGATGGTGATGACTTGGACTCGATTTGTTGTTGATCAGCCTGGCCACGCTCGCGTGATTCGTTATTACGACACGCGCTCGCGTGATATTGTTGCGCGCTATCGTGCGCACATGGTTGTCGACTTGCGTACACAACGCGCGAAAACAAATTTTGCCGCTTTGGCGAAAAGAAATTTTGCCGCTCGAATTGACTTACTGTTCAATTTTTAGGAAAGTATCGGCGTTGCGTTCAGGGGTTATCATTGGCGCTGCGAAGAAACAAATTCTCGATACGAACACGATTGCTGACGATTACAAACCGATCGAGCGTGGCGATTAAATGAGGAAAATGAGAGAAAGGTCACGCTTCTTCCGCTATCTTGTACGTACCGCGCGACGTAACGAAATGCGCTCGCGTGAAATATTACATAACATTCTTGGAATATTGTACGAACATCGTTTTAATATTGAATAATATTCGTATAATATTCTAGGAATATTACGCGCTTACAGGGAAAATATCCGAGAAGTAGAGCGGGCAAAAATTGGCACTTGGCGAAAGCAATTCGAGAGATTCGATGCTCGTAAAACGAGATCGGGACTGCGTCAGATGGAAAACACGCGACTTCTTTTTACCGTGTATACACTGAGATAAAGACTTCCGTTTCATCGACGGGGAGATAACGCACTCTATCTCTCTCTCTCTCTCTCTCTTTCTCCAACTTAAGTCTCCGATTGGCCGAGCGGGCAGAAAGGATGATAATGAGAATGCAGGAGAACTAATCTTGAGATTTTTTTATTAAAAAAAAAGAAGTACACAAACATGCTTGAGCGGTTAAATATCACGAGTACAATTGTTTCGAGAGTTACGACAGTTACAAGAGCCCAGTGAAAAAAAAACTTAAAGACTACCAATAAGTTTAACTACTACTAAGATTTAGCACCCTAAGAGAGGTCGAGGCTCTCGCCTAAGTCGAATTTAATGAGCACGTTGCTCGATCGATCGATTGACGCCCGCACATCGTGAAGCGTCATCGCGATTAAGTTCACGATCGTCTACATTACATACCGGCGCGTTCGGTAATAACGATGACGAGTGTAAAACGCTACATTGCGGGGCGGATCGCGGCCATCAACGTAACTGCACATTATTCGACGTACGCTAAAGTCTCAATCACAGCTTGGCCACGTTGCTCAAGGCGTGTGTGTGTATGCGTGTCGTGTGTACGTGGGTGGTCCGTGTTAATAATCGTTACTTACAACTCGTCTCAAATGAGATATGCGAATTCGAGTTCAGAGTTAGGAGTTGCGAGTTTCTCAGTGGAACCGCGATTGACAATACAACGCCACGTGTATCACGTTATGATTCAAGTGAGAAACTCGGGTCTCCGAATTGTAAGCTCACATCTAAGACCCGTATTAATATCTGTTACTTGAAACTTATTTCGAGTGACGTCAATCCCCCGAGGATTTGAATTCCAACGTTAGACGTGAGTTTTTCAAATGATTACAAACATAATATTTCAGATATACGTATATATCGTATAAACTTTCAATTGAAAAACTCAGATCTAACTTCTGAATTGCCGGACATCTCACGTGAGACAAGACAACGACTATCGATGAGAGAACTTGTTGTTTCCCGGGGTGGACACCAACTAACAGTAACATTACATCAGTGTTACAATTTTCCACTCAACGACCATAACAGCGTTTCGTATAACAAGCATGATATCGCGCTTACATTATCAAGTGGGAAACTGCAACGTTGACGTAATGTTATTGTCAGTTGATTCATTGAATTCTGTGGGTTAATTTCTAGAAGTTAAGTTCTGTCCCTCAAGTGCCACATTAAGGGCTATCGGCTGCGACTGAAGCAAACTATCAGGGATATGTAATGTCGCTTTTTGATACTTATAATTTGATACAAAAGATTTAATTTTATGTATCTCAGGTAAGACAAGTCTCAACTAACGTTACAGGTGTATGTTTGTATGCATGTCTCTCTCTCTCTCTCTCTCTGTGTATCTTTGGTTCGCCCGACTACAACGCAGTACGTCAACGTTATGATATGCATATATTTTCTCCCTTCTCCCCGTAGTGCACTTCGCACTGATCAATCGACGTTTCCCACACGGATGGGCTCTTCGATGTCCGATTTCCACTTTCGGCTCGTCGCGAGTTAACTTGAAGATTATTCTACCAACGGGCCGTGCGAGTGAAAAGGAAGAAAAAAAAAGAAAAATCCTCTTCGTTATCGCTGTCATGATTGACGTCGAGTATCAGCCTGGCTGATAATCAAATCGTCAGCGTTCTCCTTCCGTCAGCGTTTTCCTACCCATTTTTAGTGAAATAATTCAAGCTCAATCACGCTCTGAGAAGACACCGAAAGTTCTGGTATCTATAACTCTATAATCGCATGAAGGAAGGAATTACGGATAGGAGAACCATTTTTTCAGCAAGTGTTGCTACAGAGAATATCGGCGATAGATTTGTAACCTTACACGCATATTGCTGGAACGAGCGGTCTCCGTTCGCCCGGTCCTTCTATGCTTCCTTCGTTCCGGTCGTTGTCGCGATTTAGGACATTTCGAGTAGCTTGTTCTGGTCCACCGAGCTCATTTGGAGGCCCACGTCTGGATGTTCCATACGATGCTTCTTGAAGCAAACGAGCAGCGCGCCCATGGAGAGGATCATACCTACTAAGCTACTCCACTGCAAGACCACCTCTACAATGCGTAAGGTGACGTTCAACATGTAAAGTAGAGACATTATATTCTGCGGTAGGTCGGCCTCGTCTATTCCGGTTTCCAACCAGAGGATAGGGAGGATTAGGCCGTCTGGGAGCCTCCCGAGGAGCGGCACCGTCCGCACTTTTCGCACCTTCACGTTGACTTGAAACCTCGTCCAACCGGCGATGGGAGCTGCGATATTCTAAAAGCAATCAATAGGGATAAGTCGATTTTTCGCTCCTCCTCCTCTTCCTCTCCGCTTTAATTGTAAGTAGAGAGCTGCCGGAAAGGAGACTTTGCCACATAGAAATATTTATTTATTGACGAGAAGAACCATTTCAAAGAGTTAAAAAAAATACAATTTGCGAGAGGAGAATTTTCTTAATGTTCGTGGAAAAGAAAACTTTCGAGTCAAGATTAAATTTAGTGTCGACTTACCGGATACACATCTAGGAAGGTTACGTGGTCTTCCTCTCGAGGATGCAAACCGTCTATGTATTTTGTCAAGGATTGGTCAGCATCCAAAAAGTGTGGGAATGACGCTACCATAGGCAACTTGATACACGCAGATAAATCGAAAGTCCCATTATGTGGGCATACTCTCGAGAAACCTTTTTGTCGGCAGAAGCACTTATTCTTCTCATGCGTATACGCGAACATATCCCGTGACGGTTTATACCTGAAACAAAAAAGAATTGCGCGTGCAATAATGGAGAACGTGAACTCGCTCGGAATTTCCGTATTATCGTTGACACAGCACCGATCTTTACCTCAAAGTAGGTACGCTGTGCTTGGTTACATGTCCGTCAAATTTGAAGGGTACGGTCCTGCACATATCTTTAAAATATATATATACGGTGTCGTTATTCTCTAATAAATTGGGCGGGAAAATGGTGCCGTCGGTGCCTTCGATCTTATCGCATCGTTTATCACCCCAAATGTAGGAGCTGCTCATCCCGTCTAGTTGCTCAATCATGCCGAGCTTCGTGATGTCTCGCGTTCCCGTGTTTATCGTGATGCGACTTTTGTCGGTACCATTTGTCTGCAAACGAAAAGAACATGCGTTCCACGTTAATGCGAGAGCAAAGCGGACATCACGGTTTGCGATTTACACGCATCACCGATTGCAATCTTGTTTTAATCTAAAATTAGAAATCGCAAAATCGTCTATTTCGTCTACGATCCCTGCGAATTTATTGTCCGTTCTCTCGATAGGAGGGAACGTAAGGAAATATAACGAAGTATCAAAAAAAATGACAAATGACAAGAAGAAGAACAACGCGCTTACAGTTCCTGACCATATTATTAGACGCACCTTAAGTTTTTATATTTCATTGACTTTCGAGGATCAGCTTTATAATACGGTTCATCTATCGATCGAATTATGTTAAGGAACCATTATTCTATAAAAGATATTTTTTATGATGTCATTTCGCTTGGCTGTTAAAATAACCTTAAACAAGTATAAACCCGCGTCAGTTGCATCGTTGATAATAACAAAAACAGACGTGAGTTTTGAGTGTGTGCCAGTTGAAATTTATTTTTACTTTTGTTTATTTGCGACTTGAAACGTCAAATTCCTTGCTTGCTAACTAGAAAAATAAATTTTTGTGTGAAAAATATTAATATTGTTCACAAAAATTGTGGATAAAACAAGTAGTTTGACATTTCAGAAGGTTGCAGAGGTAAAAGCGCTGTTTGACACCGGAAATTATTCCAATCGAATAAACATAAAATTAGTAGCTTTTCTTCTCCTTCTAATCTGTATTCTATCAAAGAATCAAAATGCGTAATAAATGCGCCAATAGAAAAACAAAAACAAAAAATATATATATATATATAAAATTTTCAATTCAATTTAAATTTATACTAGCTAATGCGATTTAACTGCTATTATCAAGTCGATTCTCTGAGTGTACTCACCATGGCCAATATCCCAAATTTCTCGACCGACGTGATTTGCTGGACGAACGGCTTCACCATGTTGAAGAAATTGTCATCGTATCCCCAGATGAAGCCGCCGGCCCTCTCATGGATAAATGGCCGTTTTTTGAGGGACGTCGACATCATAGTGAGACCGACGTGCGCCGCAAAATTCCAATCCTGGACAAACGCTACGGACGACAGGAGCGGCACATTCGGTGCTACGATAACGTCGTCCTCCGATCTGCCGCCTACCCACTCGTAGAACTTCTCCTCTTGAAAAACCAACGTGTCGTTGTTCTTGCCCGCCGTCACGTTCACGCGTTTCTTCTTTTGCAGGTAAATGTACGGGCCGACCTCCTCGACGTGTAGCTTGTCCGCCCGGTAATGCAGGAAGTCATCCACGTTCGTGTAATTGAACACGTAGATCTTGGTTTTCACGTCGACCGGCGGATGCTGCCACATGAACATAGCTTCGGTGCCGTTGCGCAGCAGTAGCTGCGACTGCACGTAGTCGTGCAAGTTATTGGTGCACCAGAAGATATAGAAGACGCCGAAGCTCACGAGGAACACGCCGAAGTAGAGCCAGGCGGGCCAGCTGCGGAAGGGGCTGCGTCGGGCGCAGCGCGCCATCGCCGTTTTCTCCAGGTCCAGCGCGGTCTCCGTCACCGGGATCGTCATCGCCGATCGAAGGGTTCACAGACACCTACAAGGGATCTTCGTCGGAAATCTCCAAGTCCGAAATCGTATCTCGCAGGGAGGATCTTCTCGTCGTAAGAGTCACACCCTACGGGAGATTTTCTCCGAGTATGTACGATGTAACGCGTGAAGAAAAAGACCAGTCTTCCGCACGACTGGCGACGAACGAAGACGGACTGGAAATATCGACCAGGACGGGACCGGCACAGATAAGTCGGTATCGACGGAAGAGCGTCGTTGTCGGCGACTGCCGGCGACGTTTTCGTCGGACTGGCTCTTAAGCCGCGCGAATGCCGTAGAAAAGTCTCTCGGCGGCTTTTTAAAAATCCAAGCCGATAACCTTGCGACGGAGATGACCTTTGATGGCCAACACCTCCCGATAGAGCGGCTCGAGCGCCGTTCAGCGCGCGCTCCTCCGACGTTCGCCATGGCACTCTTCAGGTACTCGCCACCTGAGGACTCCGCAACGGGCGCACCTGAGCCAGGTGATGCGAAGGTACGAAGGGACAGCCGCGAGACGTAAAGAAGCGTGAAGAAATCAGCTCGTTCTTGAAGGTCGAGCCGAGGCAACCTTGTCGAGCTAAAGTCGGATAGGTCGATGCGAAATTTTGGATTGAGGCTGCATACGAAATTTTCAAGGAACTTCCAGGAATTTCCTGGAACCGGACAATGAAGCAGAAATGCCTATTTATTAGACAGAGAAAAATATCATTCTATTGCTGAGAAAAGTGATTGTTATTGAACAATCTCACAAGTTCACAGGTTGCTGTGAACTTGTGAGATACTTGAGACAAAAGTAATATTTACTTAAATACAGTATGTATTTGTGTGTGTGTAACAACGGCTGCTATCGAGGTCCTCGCGCTGTGGATTTCACTTCACGGTGAAAATATTGCTTCGGCTCGATAACGAGGGTTTATTTTCGCACCCGCGTGAATGTGAGTACGGCGTGTCATACGATTCGCGTTATCGCTGACGAAATTGGCAGGGCGAGGGCCGCGCCGGCAGTCGTACGACACGTTTTTATCACTTCCAGACGAGAACAACACGATTCAAGATATCTCCTCGCGAGAGAGAACGTCAGGAGGATCGCGTCTCGCGTGTGACAGGGTGAATTGGACAAAAAAAGACAGTCAAAACATGATAACGAAGATTTGAAGTTTCCTGCTCGCCCAGACACTATTAATTGGCGATCAGTGGGTACTTTATCGTAGAATGTCTCGAAGAAAAAAACTTTCGTATTATGTAACGTAATCTAATAATAACGCTTTCAAATGCAATCGCAATTGTATATTAGACTTGCGATTACGTAACAAGAAAGAAATAGTTGTACAAGATTGCACGATAATTTAACAAATTATATAAAATTAAATATTAATTGTATAAATTACTAATTACATAAATACTAATTATGTGAATATGTAAATTGAATAAAAGAGTCCTTTGTCATTTTGCAAATAACACGCAAATTTTTGAATTATTAATTAAAGAAGCTTCTATGCGTGGCCTCTTTCAATGATTAATAACTCGGAATTTTGCATGTTGCTTGCAAAATGATGCGGAACTCTTTCGTTCATCTCGATCCGTTCTACGTGCTCGTGAAATTTATTCATTCAGTTCTAGGACACCTTGCGTACTTTTTTCGTACACAACGATCAGCACCTCATATTATGAATAACGTGCGCGTGATAGAATATTGGTCGAATATTGGAAAATAGTCACGAGCCGGGTGCGTGAATCTCTCGTAAAAAGGCAATCTAAGTTCCGCCTGTTGCCGCGGTATTGCCTTTCTCAGCAAAAATTGAGAGAAAAAACCATTTTGTCATCAGTATGTTGCAATTTTTATCGTGACTCAGGACTGTAAGCTTGGTAATGAAATTGCATAAATCTATAAATCTGTAGTATAGAGAGAAAGGGGGGAGGGGTGGAGATGGAGAGAGAGACTCTGATCTCATGACTATGCACATTGGAAGATAATTTCCAGTAATATATCTCTATCGCGGATTTTTGCAGTCTCGTGGATTATTTTTTCTATCTTCTTTTTGAGGTATTTAACGGCGCCTCGATTAGCGTGTTAATTTATCAAGGGACGATATAAGCAACGGGGAACGCTAAACGCTAGTTCGACGTTGTGTATGTCGAGGATGCCACACACCAAGGTGCATCCTCTTCGTCAAATTTAGACGGAGCATTTTCTCACGGATCCTTGAAATTCGTCTCAATTCATTCATTATTTCAGTCCGATATGATTCATCAATCATCAAGAATCTCTCGATGACGTAACAATGGACGGTAACAGAGACGCGGGTTTTCTTGTACACGCAAAAAAAACCCTGAATGGCATATATTGATTGGCTAACCGTTAGACAACTTCCGTTAGGAAATTTCAGTTTCCGGAACCGGATAGATGGCAGATAAAACCTCGGTGATAAGAAACTATATCTTTGTTACCGTTTATCTCGTGTATCTTTGTCGCTTTTGTAATCACAATCGATGGATTATGTTGACAAATAATGCAACCAAATTTCTCCGTGTATGTATATTAGTTAGGTATGCCAAGGCGGGTCCTAATTTGTACGAACGTTATATTTCCGTGTAGAGCCTAAGCGGAGGACGTGTCTTAATAATGCCTAGATAGAAGCAGGGGAAAACTGTAGAATCTTCCCAGCGGTCGTTCCAAATTTCCGCATGAGACCTCAAGAGAAACAGGGCATGCGCGTTGTAAAAGAAATGAGGTCGCATCCGACCCCAACCTTATCACTAGAGGATCCAAATTTGGACTAGAGTAACGAAGTTTTTTTTTATCCTGCACAGAACTACCTTCGTTAGAAATCACGCGTGCGCACGCTTCTTCCCTCTTCCTTCGCGCTCCAGGTTACGCGCGGATGTCAAAAGAGAGCATGGCGAGCGTGCGTATCGCATCCCTGAGCGTGCAAAATCGTACTTCGGCGCGGTGGTGACGGCGATGTGGTGCAATTTGTATTTTTTTTTTCTACGACGCATGCTAATTACCCCGGCAAATAGCACACACCGCCCATCGTGGAAGTATTGTGTTATGACTGGCAGATGGCCTCTTCACCCGCACTCTCTGTCCATCCCACCCGTGCGGCCTCGTCGTTTTTTTCACGCTGCCCCGAACTGCTGCGCCGCCGAGCGCCGTCGTAAAATGATAAGGGAATCGGCTGCTCTTATCGAGCCACCGCCGCCGCCGTGCGATTACGCAAGGGCGCCCGAAGATCGTGGATCGGCTCCTGAGAAAATGTATGTATGCTTAAAGAGGCGGCGAAAAAAAACCGCCCGCAATCCCCAGTATTGATGGATCTCGCCCGTCGTCGTCATCATCATCGTCTTGTCAGATCGACGGGATGTCGTAACGTAACGAGATAAGCGTTCCAAACGAAATAATAATGACCTCCGAGTCGAGGATTTATGAGGAGAGACAGATAAGCTGGCGATTTTTAGGGATATTGGTCGTCCCGGCTCCTTCATGCAAATCTTTCTTATGCGAAGTCCACCGGTTCTTTCGCGATAGGAAGTCGAAGATGCCTTGCCGGACTGATGCCGGACTTTTACGATTTTTCTTTCGCGCGAAGTCTCCTCCAAGGCGACGATATTTTTCTGGAAGATAGCGCGAAGATAAAATCGATGTCAACCCGGATTCTTGCGAACTATGTACGTTCCGCCAAGGTCCTCGCCTTGTATCTTTCTGGAACAGAGAGAAGACGCGCATAATCCAATTCGAAGTTTTCATCACAGCATCTCTTTATCTTGAGGGACGTCTTACAGACGTCATTTTATGGGACATTACAGTAACCATAAGATATCTTAAGGTGGCCTCAGATATCCGTTAGATGTCTACATGCTATCAAGTGTTAAGATACGGATATCTATATTTATATATATGGAGTTGAATATTAAAAAAAATATATAATATTCCAATAACATTAAATAATATTATTTTCTTAATACTATTAGGGGTGGGCGTATAACCATCTATTAATATTTCAGAAATGTTACTTAATATTCAATAATATTACTGGAATATTATTAAAATATTATGTCTGATATTCGAAGAATATTCCCAGAGCATCATTTAATATTAAATGATATTAGGCGCTTTTAGGGTCAATACTTTATTTATACGTCAATTGATCCAATAAAAAATCACTATTCGTATAACAATCTGAATTTTGGAACGGTTCTATTGTATTTTTTCGAAATCTTCTACATTCCTCCTGTTACCATTCGTACTTACTACGTCTCAGCTTATAGCTTCACAATCTGGTCGTCATGCTTGAAGAGGGCGTTAATGTACGACGATTTTAAAAGCTACTAATAAGGCAAACTTGGGGGAGCGGCTGCGACATGAGGTTAGGAGTGCATATGACATAAATAGAGCTTATGGATTAGCATACTACGTGTGTTCACAATTGAAGATATGTTAATTTCATCTTTCCATTTTGTGATACATCAAGCCTAACAATTGAGATTTCACGCGGACGAATCATGTGATATGCTACTTCCACAATAAACATTTGTTAATATTTATGAGAGGAGAATGATGTGGATTATCTTCACACTCTCGAAGCAAAATTTGCATAACAATTAACAATGAAAATGAAATAGTTTTCTTCTGTACAGAGTCACACGTGAGTCCTAAAGCGGTCTCGGAATCGCAGATTTTTAATCGCGCAATTAAGCGCCGCTAGATGATCGGATGAAGCATCATTAAGTCTATTTTTAGTTCGCACTTTTGTCGAAGGTGTTTAGCCGAAAATAAACCTTCACGAATGTTTCTGCGTCCGGATAGTTCCACACCGGGTTGCACAAGTAGTCCTGATTTCATCATTCTGAGAACGGATGTTGACTGAAGCACATACCGGTCTTCTCTGCAGGTTGTGCCACTGATAAGAATATCGCAAAAGAAGCGGATCATTCGCTAGAAATCCATTTACTTTCGTTAACAATTCACTTGTGTCGGTAGACTGCAGGTAAGTTTGCTTCAAGTTAAAATTTATCCTTTACATTGTACTTTTGAATATTTTTAGCGCAGCATGAAGCCTATAAGAAAATTAATACAACAAAATAAGTAACAACTTATTGACAGATCTCAATCTGTCACCTTTTATTCTGAAAAAAAAGTATCATTTCATATTGCAGAATATATTATCATACATCATGACGAAAGCGGATAAGACTGCGCAAGAGTGGAAAGGAAAAGGTAACGAGGAGTTCAACAAGGGCAATTGGTCGGAGGCTTTAGATTGCTACACGAATGCAGTGGAACTGACGAAAGAAGACAACGCGGATAAAGCGATATATTACAAAAATCGGGCTGCCGTTTATTTGAAGTTGCAGGAATACGAGAAAGTGATTGCGGACTGCAGCGACGCGTTAAAAATATGCTCCAATGATCCCAAGGCGTTGTTCCGTAGATGTCAGGCATTAGAGGCGTTAGAGAGGTTTGAGGAAGCGTATCGGGACGCGAGGCACATTGTTCTATCCGATCCCAACAACAAATCTGTCCAGCCTGTACTTGCGCGTTTACATGAGATTGTACAGGAACGATACAAGGAAAATTCTCGCATCAGTTCGAAGGTGTGTACACGCGTACGCATTGTATGCGTGTATATGTACAAATATAAATTATATAAAATGTTATAAAATTTTTAAAATAATTATGTAAAATTATATAAAATGTGATGTATATTTTTATATTTTTTTAGGTATCGCAAATGTTGGACATGGCCTTCAACATGAGCATAGACAGGGAAAAACGCGAGATCGCTATGAATAATCTGCTCGTGCTCGCACGTGAGAGGGCCGGCGCGGAGGAGATCTTCAAGGAAGGAGGCGTATCCAGGATCACGAAGCTTCCGAAGGTCGAGACCAGCGAGGAGGTGATATGCAGCGCGATCCGCATCATAGCCGAATTGTGTACGAACAACGTTACTCGGACCGAATCCATCGTAAGGGACGTCGGTGTGCCTTGGTGCTTGGAGATGATAAACAGCAAGCATAAAGAGAGAGTCAACGCGTCGCAATATTGCTTACAGGTGATATAAATTCGATCGAAATACATCGTACTCGTGAATCGAAGATCCTTATTTACACTTGGATTTCAGACCATACTAAATGCCTACAGCGGTATGGACAACAAGCCCGGCTCGAAACCCGACAAGACCCTGTGCGAGAAGTACAAGAAGGAGATAGACACGATCCTGTCGTGCTTGCTGTACAGCGTAACGAACAGGACGATAACTGGCTTAGCGAGAGACGCCATCATAGAACTCGTTATGCGTAATATTCATTACACCGCGTTGGACTGGGCGGAGCGGCTGGTCGAGCTTCGCGGTCTGCAGAGATTGATGGAGGTGGCCAGTGAATTGGAGGAATACAAATACGAGTCCTCGATGGAGATTACACCTTCCACGCGGACCATTACCAGCGTGTGCCTGGCTAGAATATACGAGAACATGTACTACGACGCTGCCAAGGAGAGGTTCAACAACGCTATCGATGAATTTATCAAGGATAAACTGCTCATGCCGGATATAGAATCCAAGGTACGTCCATTGCTGTAACTTGGGATGAAGAGCACTCGTTTCTTCTTTAAAGCTTCACATTGCAGTGTTTCTAACTTGTTTTAATTTAGGAATGATTGTGTCGTTTTTACCAGTACATCGACTTGATTCCTTCGGACACGATTATATTTCGAAATGTTTCAAACGTACCATGGCTGAAACACCTCGATCAATCGGACGATTTCTTTCGAAATGTAACTTGGCAAATATTCTGCCAAAATGATTCGCCATATCGCTGCTATATTTTACCGAGATATTAAAAGTGATAATATAACACTAAAGAGAAATTTCGGGCTGATCTATCAGGTGCGCGTGGTAGTCTCGATAACGACTTTACTGCTGGGCCCGTTGGACGTTGGGAACGCGGTGGTGGCGAAGGAAGGTATTCTCGAGATGATTCTCGTAATGGCGGGGACGGACGACGTGATGCAGCAGAAAGTCGCGTGCGAATGCATCGTCGCCGCCGCGTCGAAGAAGGACAAGGCCAGCGCGATCATAAGTCAGGGCGTGAACATACTGAAGAGATTGTATCAGTCCAAGGACGACTCGATTCGCGTGCGAGCGCTGGTCGGATTGTGCAAGTTGGGCAGCTCCGGCGGCACGGACGCGGCCATCAGGCCGTTCGCCGACGGGGCGACGAAGAGACTGGCCGAGGCCTGCCGGCGATTCCTGATCGATCCCAAGAAACAGAAGGACATGAGGAAATGGGCGGTGGAGGGTCTGTCGTATCTTACCTTCGACGCCGAGGTCAAGGAGAAGCTGATCGAGGACCAGCCGGCCGTCCAGGCGATGATCGAACTGGCCAAGACCGGGGATCAGTCGGTGATCTACGGCGTGGTCACCACCCTGGTGAACCTATGCAACGCTTACGACAAGCAGGAGATCATACCGGAGATGGTCGAGCTGGCGAAGTTTGCGAAACATCATATACCGGAGGAGCACGAGCTCGACGAGGCCGACTTCGTGAACAAGAGGCTGTGCTCGTTGGCGAAGGCTGGTGTGACCAGCGCCCTGGTCAGCCTCTCTAAGACGGACAGCTGTAACAGCAGGGAGTTGATAGCGCGCGTGTTCAACGCGATCTGCAGCCGGCAGGAGGTGAGAGGTATCATCGTGCAACAGGGCGCGGCGAAGGCGCTGCTGCCGTTGGCGCTGGACGGCACGGACAAGGGTAAGAAGCAAGCCTCGCAAGCTCTCGCTCGCCTGGGCATCACGATCAATCCGGAGGTCGCGTTCCCCGGCCAGAGGATCATGGAGGTCGTGCGGCCGTTCCTCAACCTGCTCAGCCCGGAGTGCTCGGCCCTCGAGAACTTCGAGAGTCTGATGGCGCTGTGCAACCTGGCCGGCGTGAACGACAGCGTGCGGAAGCGGATACTGCAGGAGGGCGGCTTCCAGAAGATCGAGAACTACATGTACGAGGATCACGACATGTTGAGACGCGCGGCCATCCAGGTGGTGAACAATCTGATGATGTGCGAGGAGACACTCAAGTACTTCGAGCAGGAGAACGACCGGGTCAAGTATCTCGTGATACTGTGCGGGGACGAGGATCGGGACACGGGCATGGCGGCGGCGGGAGCACTGGCGATGCTCACGTCAGCGAGCGAGAAGACGTGCGAGAAGATCTTCGATTCGAAGGACTGGGCGGAATCTCTGCGCTTCTTGCTCGCCGATCCGAACGGCGACCTGCGACACCGAGGCGCCGTCATCGTGCTGAACATGATGAAGAGCACGAAGGACGTCGCTGCGAGGCTCATCGACACGGACATAATGGAGATACTGATGGCGTTGAGCAAGAACGAGAATGCTCAGAACGAGAGTGTGCACAACGAGAAGGTGAAGGAAATGGCGACTGCCGCTTTAGACGCCGCCGCTGAGTGGAAACTGATCAAGAGAAACGTCGCCGAGGAGGAACCGTCGCAAGGTGCCAGCAATGTGGAACATACCGATTGAGGATGTCGTCTTGCGCTGCGGCTCGGTGCCATCATTGGCAACATTGGGACGCGTTTGGATATTCGTTGAAAACCGCGTTTCATCGGCGTGTCATCTTCGACTGTATTTCAAATCACAAGTGCCTCAAATCGTTAAATATGTACGTAACTACTTAACTTAAGTCTCTGTAATATTCTCTAGTTTTAGAGAATATTATACACTATATACACTTAATGTGCGTTATGTATTAAACGATAGTTAAACATATTTATATTTATATGGATTTAAATATATGCAATTGTTATTCCCGTGTCTGGATGATTTGCCGAGTTACCGAAGTCTGAAGTGTCTATTTATAACATGAAAGTATTGAGCGTGATGATACGTATTCATACGACATCGCGTAAAGTATTTTGCTGGGGTAAATGTGGAATGTTTAACGAACGTAAAACCAAAAGACTTGCAACAAGACGGAATACCATTGCGGTATTTATTCGTATGCTAACGATATCTGTGTGTATATGTGTGAAATGTATGTACATAACAGAATTCAAATCAAATATATGCAGATAATTATAAGTGCTCTATAAAGATTATAAAAGTTTTGTACATATCACGAACTCAGAAATGGGTGAGACAGTGCTTGTTCCGCGGTGATACGTGTTTTGTAATCTAGATCAAGAAGCTTCGTCAAAAGATGGTACGCTTCCCTGGGATATTCGACATCTGGCAACACCTTAAACAATTTCACTGGTGATTTCAAAATATCAGAAAACAGAAATTATCGCTCGAGCGATAGGAGAAAGTATAAGTATAACGTCCCTTTACATTTGCGATCGAGTGTTTCTCGTAACTACCGTGCTCTCTTCAATTATACAGCATCTTCCAACGAGTCAACGATTAAATCGCTATTGACGAGGATTTCGCTACCTTATCGATTTAATACTACCCGTTAATGCTCTTCGATCGAAGAAAACTCGAGATTTCATCATCGTTCTGCGTCTAATCATACTCAACTTTCTCCCACGCGATATATCCTCTTTCGTTGAATAATAAAGAAATAATCTAAAACACGAACGAAATATACCTTCTTGCATGTATTATCCCTATCGCATGTCGTGCTTCTATTTCTTTTCTGTAACTTTTGACACAGCGACATGATGTCGATGCCCGGCAAATTATTGCTAAAAATAACTTTTTTACCTGAGCCAAAAAATGAAAGTACATGAAAATAAATGAAAAATGTAACATAAAGAATATCAGGAAATATATATAAGAAGAACGGGAAACGAACGACTTGAAACAAGTACAAATCATTCGTCGTGATCGACTAGCGCTCTCGGTGTACCTAATTTTTGCGCACACTGCCGCAGCTGACATGTTCCAAACACCGACGTTATCTCTGCCAGAGCTGTGCAGTCATCTGGCGAGCGGAAAAACGGTTGCGTGCCGCTGAGTATGCACAGCATCATCACACCGCTGGCCCAAATGTCAATCGCTGAAAATTCGCTTTTCTTTTTTACTTGTCAGAGAGATATCAAAACGTTTTATCTTTCTTGCGTGGGATTTTAAGTTATTCCAAAAAAGTCCTTGTCCAATGTTCCCTCTCTCTCTAGCGTGGGAGAAGGAATTAATATTATTATTAATACCTGAAGTTTGCGAAGGATGCTTCAATAAAACTTCCGGAGCGCGGAACCCGGGAGTGCCCGCACGAGGCGCCTGCTCCTGCGGCCTCGTTAAACACAATGAACAAACTTTTGGTTTGGCGAAACAGATACATTTGTTATCCTCGATCCTCTTTACAGCGGTGTTCAACTGAAGATTTAAGTTGTTCTGAAATGGACGAAATAGAACGAAGTGTAAGGAAAATCAGAATATTACAATATATTTGTTTGTACACTCGGTCAATAGGTTCCAACGGTTTTTGTTTCCCATATTTCGGAACACACAAAAATCATGACGAAGCGAACCTATGAATCGACAATTATGTGCAGTAAGTGATCTGACAGTTGTTAAATTACAGGTACAAGGCATTACATTACCTCGTCCGATCTTTTCCGCTTCATAGCCAATGACTCCTCTATGCTCTTTACGTTCGTCTCTTTCACGGTTTTGAAACTCTCCACAGTACTTTGTTGAGCAAGACCGAAGTCTACCAATAGATATCTGTAAATACAAAGAGAATTAGCGATACATGATTTCATAGTCATGGAAGAGAAGCGTGTTCTTTCTCGTGTTAATTTACCTTCTATTAATACGATCATAGAGAAAGTTGCTGGGCTTGACGTCTCTATGGATGATATTGAACTTGTGAACCCTTCGTAGAGCGCTTAGTAGAGCTCTCATGTAATCCTTGGTTTCCTCGACATTCATGTCTCTCACATAGTCCTAATCACAGTCACAGAGAATATATGGACATTTTTGCAAACTACCTTTATTCAATACACACAATTATACAAATATAAACTCAACTGCAAACTTACTGGGAATTTATCATGCCTCATGTATGGCATCACGAATACTACCGAGCCATGATTTCTCAAGCATAATTCTAAGCCAACGATATACTCTTTACCTCTGAAAAAAATCATTATTAGTCTCGTTAATATATACCGATACAAAGTGAAAAGATGTTTTCACGCCAGTTTTTTTGCCTATAATATACCCTATCTGTTGCAGACACTTCAATTCACGTTCGATCCTCTCAGGATGACAAGTGGGGATCAAGTATTTTAATGCAAATTTCTTCTTTCCACCGGAAGATTTGAGAGTGGCCAGGAAAACAGAACTGAACGCACCTTCTCCAACTTTGCGATGTATATGAAACAATTCCCCCAATAGTGGGATCGACTTCTTGAGATTCACACAGATGTCTTTAGCTACAACATAGTATATACATAACAATGTTATTTGTTCCTGTGTTTTAACACATGTCTATAATTAAAATCAATGTAAATGTATATATATTTGGTATGGTATGTAAAATATGGTTTCTTAAAAAATGTTGGTGTAATACAAAGTGAAGAAAAGCTCTTATTGCAGTGATCAACACAATAAAGGAAATATCTACACAGTCGAATTTTCTAAAAACAATAATTTCTATTTACATAATAATATTATACCATCATCATCTCCATCGTTTTGATACGACTTGTCGATTTCCATCCTGTTCAAATTTCGAAATGTCTCTGGTAACTCGTTTGAACATCACACAAGTTTACTATCTCCTTAAAATATGGTACTTGTCTCATCAATGATTGCTAGATCTACAATACAATGTTAAGAAAAAAAGATTTTGAAAGAAAGCAATAATAATAATAATACGAATGTATAAACTATGTAGATAAAAAGGATTTTCTAACGTCCTTTTCTAATCAGTAAGGGAAATTTTAATAACAATTCTAATTGATCGCGATCACTTGAAAAATAAAGGTCATTTAACCTATCGCCGAGTCGTACTGCGAGCACAATTTGGCGGTACAAACGGTGGCAGCTCGTAGCGGAAGCTCGGAAACTAGATATTTTTTGTGATACCGCATCTTTGCAGTTATCATCAGTCACAATTTTATCGACAAATTTATCGACCGGAGGTTATTAAACAGCAAAATTTTCTGTCACGATAAATCCTGCAAAAGTCTTTGGTATGATCGAGGTTTACGCGTAAAATATAATAATTTATTGAATTTACTTTTATGGATTAAAGTAGTTTTAAAAGTAGCTAAAAACGTCTTATGACTCGCTTTTAGACATTGCGCTGTCTGAGTAACCTTTCGGTATCATTTTTAAGAGATTTCATATTAAGATCCTCAAAAAGTTAACTTATAAAACTCTCATCAATATTTATTTAATGTGTTGGATGAAGACTGAATATTAATCATTTTCGTTATCCGTTCCTCGTGGACAAGCATACTTATACATCAAACGTCTAATGACATCGATAACGTCGCAACGCCGTAAATATTATTAATGACTGTATTACCGACACACTTGTTAGAGTTCAACAGCCACTCTGACATTCCCCGAGCACGAAAACAAGCACCGTGTGCCGCGGGCTTTAAAGATAATTAAAAAAAAAATTATTTTTAACTTTTGTCTTTTTGATCAAGTTTTCAAGACGTCTTTAAGACATCTTTTAGAGAAGAGTATTGTCTTCTCGGCGATGTCGTAAGATGTGTTTCTACGCGATGTCGTAAGATGTTACCTGCCTTGACTGTCGAAATATCTCGACATCAGATTGGCTACGGAAGATGCTCAATACGTAGAGGAACCTGTTTGTGAATTTTTGAGACGTGATTAATAAACCGCAAAGAAAATGTATACATGGTGTCGCAAATTTTTTTACACAAGCTTTGATACTACATTCTTCTATAAACTGAAATAAAAGAAAAAGAAACGTTATACGAACGTAAGTCTTACCCTTACGGAGATTTCACACTGAGAATTACTGAGATTTGCGATGATTTGTGACTTGTGTTCGATAAACTTTGTCTTTTATTGCCTTTCACAGACAGAAGTTTAATATCTGATGGTCTTGGAGGCTAAGATATGGGTCTTTTAAAGCAAAGCGGCGTTTATATAACTTTTTTTTCTTCTTTCAATTCAAATGACACACTATTAAAGTTTATACGAAAAAAACAGAAAAACTTGGGATACCCTGTATATTCATGAATAAAGAATAATATAAAAGGTGGTTCGGCATTCCATGCAACAGTACGTTCCACCGTTTCATCCGTTACTATTAGTGTCTCCGCGAGTTGGAAAGTATACGCTGCTAAATGTTCAAAGTTTTCTTTATTTATAATAATGATATTTGCTACATATCTCTTTGCTTTCATACTTCCCTCATATATTTGTCACGTTTGAAATCTCAGCTAGTAGGCACGCATCAAAACGACGTCAAAATTTGGTCAGAGGATAACCGAAAATGACAGATGTAATTGCGCGAGAATGACGGAAAAGTAACGGATACCACGAACTGAAGACGATATTTCGTGACATTAAAAGGTTTGATCTCTTGACTATTTTTGATTCTTCAGTCACGTTCTAATGACGATTCAATAACATCCCATACAGTAAACGTAGATCCTGAATATGTACGCAGCATATCGTAAACGTAAATCGTGCGTATCCTAATGAGGAGACAACGAAAAAGAAAGGAAGCGTAATCCGGTCGAACTAATCGTAAGGCTAAACGGTGGCAATGAACTTGACGACGACCACGACCGTACCCGGTTACTACAACACCAGCAACATCACCGACGACGACGGTCCATACGAGTGCGGCGAAAAGGTCGTCGCGTGCGACCTGTTGGGTTTCATCGTCTACGGCGTGTTCACCAACCTGATATGTCTCTTCGGGATCTTCGGCAACACAGTTTCAATAATTGTCCTGTCACGACCGCAGATGAAGTCGTCCATCAATTTCCTGCTGATCGGACTAGCTAGCAGCGACATCATGCTGATCATCACCGGGGTACGCTTGACGCTCTTCGTACATTTCTATTCTTCCTGCATATCAGCCCACTGTTTCTTCCTTCCTCGAGAAATTTAATTGAAATTTGCACTCATTTCTCATTGCTTCATTTTACGTTAACTGAAAAGCTCACACAAGCGGCACAATCGAGTTCTTTATTTCAATTCTTCGTTCTTGTATCGTTCTCACGCAGTACTTTCTCGTATATCTTCTCACTTAAAAAGCGAGCGCGCAAGAGCAGTACAGTAAACGTCATTTGTTATATGGCCAATGCACGAATAATGAGCATAGTCAATAACGGCTCACTTATTTCAATTGAAAATCATATAACTCTAGTTACAATATTAAGGTGATGTGTATTATAATTCAATCGTCTCTCACGTGAACTCAACGGGAAAGCACGAAGAACGCGAAATTTCACACACGTGACCCGTCCATTCGCAGATACTGATTTTCGGACTGGAAGGACTCAAAACATGTGCGGGCGTGCTGTTCGACTATAACTACATCTTCCTTCCGAAAATCATGAAGTTCCTGTTCCCGTTATTCTGCATAGCGCAGCTGACGACAGTGTATCTGACGCTGGCGGTGACCGTGGAGAGGTACATCGCGGTCTGCCATCCGCTGAAAGCCAGATCGTACTGCACTTACGGACGAGCGCGGATTGCGGTGCTGGTTATAATGCTCTTCGGTTTTTTTTACAATCTATCAAGGTTGGTGTAACCGCGACGACATTTGCTTTCGGGTTATCCAACCAATGAGAGAAGAGGGGCGAGATTCTCACGTGTACATATATGTCAATTTCAGGTTCTGGGAGGTCGAAGTCTCCGAAGAGACACATTGGAAGTATAACGTCACGGTGTACTGCATCATCGGGACGGAGTTGAGGACAAACCAGACCTACATCACCCTGTACATAAACTGGTTGTATTTATTCGTGTTTAATCTGTTCCCGTTCGTCGCGTTGGTGGTCTTCAACACGGCTATTTATCGACGGGTAAGGTGTCCATTAACGAAGTTAACGCTCGATCCGACATATTATATCCGATATATTATATTATACACTGAGGGAAAAAATTGAGGAAAGTTAAGAGAATGTTATATTCGTTGTAACTCTGTTCCTCCATCGGTTCCCAGGTCAAGCAAGCGAACAAGGACCTTAAAAAATTATCGTGTCAACAACGCAGCGAGATCGGTTTGGCGACGATGCTGCTATGCGTGGTAATAGTCTTCTTGATCTGCAACATCCTGCCGTTATTCTCAAACATCTTCGAGACTTTCGTCGAGGGTGGACCGCCGTTGTTGATGGTGATGTTCGGTAATGTTCTGGTGATCATCAACAGCAGTGTTAACTTTATCATCTACATAATCTTCGGCGAGACATTCAAGAAGACATTCCTCAAGATCTTCTTGTCATGCTGGCGACAAAAGCAAAAATCCAAACGGGATAACATCGAGTCTCAAACGACGGACACGTCGATCATCAGCAGCACGAGCAACATCGAGCTGGACTCAGTCAGCCATATCAACTATCTCAACCATAGCAATATTATACAATAGCAACAATACCATGAAGTACAACAACAACTTGGTCCACAGCGACGTCCACGTATCCAGCAGCGGCACTAAGGAGAGCGTCAAGCTTCCCTAGGTGTCGAGACTAGTTAATTCCGATCCCTCTCTTTGTTATTCGGCGAAGAGTCCCAATCAAATGTCGAAAACGTTGAACGATTACAAGGGCTGGGGCAGGAAAAAAACACCGCTCCACGTTGAGTGTGATCATTCTGCTCATTTGTTATCCAACCAGAAATCAATCGATCGGATGACGTTTATATATATATCCGCCGGTTGAGACGGATTGGAAAGGCAAGGACGAGAGCGATTTCACGTTGCAGATACGCTGCTGGTCAGCGTTTATTATATTTCCTTTGAGAGAAACTCGGATCAGTCCACTCTCTTATGTTTGAACGCTGTAATCCTACAGGATAGCGCGATTTCGATATAAGAAAAATGGTCCTTAAAGATAAGTCCTTAAAGTTCCTGTAGGTTCTTCACAGCATTCTGTGTAGTATAAGTGATCGAATTCGCTAATAATGGTTAATATTGTGATTACTGCCAGATAGTTGCGCTAAAGGCTGTAAAAATAGAAATGAAAGCAGATAATGATAGCCGAAAGAATAAAACACAATAGTGACGGAAACAGTCTACCTTACACGCCATGAAATTATCGGTGGTCAACAATGCTGTACGACCATGTTTAGTAATAATAGTAGTAGTAAGTGGGTGACCGGCCGCCGATTGGAATAGAAACCACATAGGAATATGAAGCGACAATTTTTATTCTCTCTGTATGATAGATGGCCTCAATAAGTCTTCCTTTAAATCACAATGTAGAGGAAATGGCCAAAAGTATTTCATTGCTCAACATTGGCCAATGTAACGCCAATGAAGTGTGTTACTTTGGATGATGTTTATCGAAAGACTTAAGTAGCAACTTATGTAGTAAGATGACATCAAATGACGTTTAATGATATCTCCAGCGTCAAAAAATTCTTTATCAGAACATAATTTCAGGTCACTACTTGGGGAGTCACGTAATTTCAATGTTGCTTTGTTAGTCAGGATATTTAGACATGTGCGTTGTTTGCTCGAAAAAAAGGATCATGTATGAAATTTACCCATATATAACCATGTATAATCATATATGTCCACCAATGAAAAAATATCTGTTGTTTACGAATTATATAAAACGCATACGATCGAAATAAATGCTTGTGCTTTTGACAGCATATGATATCAACATTTAATTAAATGACATAATATGATTTTTCTTCCTATAGACATATATGATCATATATGTAACCACATATATAGGAAAAAATCATATATGATTTTATATAATTATATGTAATCATATATAATCATTTTTTCCCGGATCGAATTTTACACTACGTCATAAGATATTGCAATCTTGACTAATTTATTATCTTGGTATTATAGAGAGGTATTACGAGAGAGAGAAATTTGAAATGTAGAAAAACTTGTTTTTATAGTGGGAGACATGAATAAGTTGTTTGAGCAACATATATATACTTGTGTATAAGAAATAGTACTCTCAGCAGTTTCCGTATTCTCAGCAGTTTAGTACGTTCTTTCGTTTCATCCGTTACTATTGATGACTCTGCGAGCTCGTAAGTATATACGGTTTTGATTTTTCAATTTTTCCTTAATAATAATACTTTCCACATATTTCTTTGCTTCTTACTTCTTTTATACACTCGTGACATTCCAGCTTTCCTAGATTTACGAAATCCTACCTAGTAGGCACACATCAAAATAACGTCCAAATTTGAACAAAAGTTAATTAAGAATAATTAATGTAATGAGGAGAAAATGATGGAAAAGCAACGGACTAATATCACGGACTGATGGCGACATTTTATAATGTTGAAAAAATTTGACCTCATGACTATTTTTGGCCTGTTAGTGACGTTCGAATGACATTTTCATAACATCCTATACAGCACACGTAGATCCTGAATATGTACGCAGCATATCGTAAACGTAGATCGTGCATATCCTAGCGAGGAGACGACGGAAAAGAAAGGAAGTGTAATTCGGTCGAAGCGACAAATCGTAAGGCTAAACGATGGCAATGAACTTGACGACGACCACGACCGTACCCGGTTACTACAACATCAGTAACATCACCGAGGAGTGCGGCCAAAAGTTCCCCACATGTGACCTGACTCGTTTCATCATCTACGGGGTATTGACCAACCTGATAGGTGTCTTCGGGATTTTGGGTAACACCGTTTCGATGATTGTCCTGTCGCGACCGCAAATGAAGTCATCCATCAATTTCCTGCTGATCGGACTAGCTAGCAGCGACAATATGCTGATTATCACCGCGGTATACTTGACACTTTTTGCACATTTCTTCCTGCATATCGGTCTATTGTTTCATTCTTCCTCGAAGAATTTAATTGAAATTTACATTCACATTTCTCATCACTTTATTTCACGTTAACTGAATAGCTCACAGGCCGCATAATAAAATTGTCAATTTCAATTCTTCGTTCTTGTACTGTTCTTATACAATACTTTTCTCCTATATCTTCTCGTCTAAAAAGCAGGTGCGCAAGAGCTACTGCTCTTACAGTACAGTAAAGCGGAGAAAAATTAAATAGCGGAGCGACTAAGAAATTCTCATTGCGGGTTAACGTCATTTGTACACGGTTAATGCATGATTAATAAACATAATAAATAACGGCTCACTTATTTCAAACGCCCTGTGTTATTATGTAAGATATTAATATTTTATTATTTTTAATCATATTCTTAATCATTTATTTACAAGCTTGCTTATTGTCATATCATTAAAGATATGATAACAGAAGTAATGAATAATTACGATAACGCAGTTTTCATTTTTTTATGTCTCCTTACATAAATTCATTTAAGTTTTATTTCTAAAAATCGTATAACTCTAGTTATAATATTAAGGTGATATAATGTGTATTATAATTCAATCGTCCCTTACATGAAACAACGGGGAAGCACGAGAAATGCGAAATTTCACGTTCCTGATACGTTACTTACGTGATATGTCTATTTGCAGATACTGATTTTCGGACTAACAGGGATCGACACATGCGGAATAACGCTGTTCTATAACTACAGCACTTTCGTCCTTCCGAAAATCTTCAAGCTGGTGTTTTTGTTAATCTGCACAGCGCGGATCGCAACGGTGTATCTGACGCTGGCGGTGACCGTGGAGAGGTACATCGCGGTCTGCCATCCGCTGAAAGCCAGATCATTCTGTACTTACGGACGGGCGCGGATGGCGGTGCTAGTTATAACGGTTTTCTCCTTTCTTTACAATCTACCAAAGTTGGTATAATACCGGCGCAATGACGTTTGCTTTCGGTTCACTCAATTAACGAAAGAAAAGCGATTAAGTTCTCACGTGTACATGTATGTCAATTTAGGTTCTGGGAAGTCGAATTGCACGAACAGATACATTGGAAGTACAACATTACGGTATACTGCATGTCGGTGAGCGAGTTGAGGAAAAACGCGTACTACGTCCACCTGTACATAAACTGGTTGTATTTAATCGTGTATAGCCTGTTTCCGTTCGTCTCGCTGGTGATCTTTAACACGGCCATATATCGACGGGTGAGTGTCTACTGGCGAAGTTAACACTCGATCTGACATATATTATACGCTGAGGAAAATATTTGTTAATCTTACTGTATATTATAGCCGTCTTAATTATAAAGATCTTCCAAATCCGTAAGTATTATTTAGATGAGCGGTCTTAAATGTCTGATCGTGTATATTGCTTTTCTACTTCCTCTGAGGGAATAAATCGAGGAAAGTTAAGAGAATGTTATATTTGTTGTAACTCTGCTCCTCCATCGGTTCCCAGGTCAAGCAAGCAAACAAGGACCTTAAAAAATTATCGCATCAACAGCGCAGCGAGATCCGTTTGGCGACGATGCTGCTATGCGTGGTAATAGTCTTCTTGATCTGCAACATTTTGCCGTTAATCTCAAACATCTTCGAGACTTTCGTCGAGGGTGGACCGCCGTCGTTGATGGTGAGGTTCGGTCATTTTCTGGTGTTCGTCAACAGCAGTATTAACTTTATCATCTACATAATCCTCGGTGAGACATTCAAGAAGACATTCCTCAAGATCTTCTTGTCATGCTGGCGACAAAAGCAAAAATTCAGGCAGGATAGCATCGAGTCTCAGACGACGAACGTGTCGATCGTCAGCAGTACGAGCAACATCGAGCTGGACTCAGTCAATCATCTTAACCACAGCAATACCATCAACAGCAACAACATCGTACACAGCAACGTCGACATGTCGAACGGCGGTACCAGTGAGAGCGTCAAGCTATCCAGACTGGTTAACTCCGAGTCCTGTCTCTATTATGCGGTGAAGAGTCCCAGTCAAATGTCAAGAACGTTGAACGGTTACAACGCCTGGGGCAGCAGGAAAAGGAACCACCGTTCCACGTTGTAGCGGATGTGATCATTCCACTCGTTGTTATCCAACCAGAAGTCAATCGGTCAGATGTAGTTTGTATATTTATATATCCGCTGGTTGGGAAAGAATGGAAAGGCAAGAGCGATTTCGCGTTGCAGATGCGCTGCTGGACAGCGTTTATTATATTTCCTTTGAGATAAACTCGGATCAGTCCACTCTCTTATGTTTGAACGCTGTAATCCTACGGGATAGCGCGATTTCGATATAAGAAAAATGGTCGTTAAGGATAATAGTTCCTGTTTCTTCACAGCATTCAGTGTTATTAATATTGTATATATAATATGGCGGATAGTTACGTTAAAGGCTGTAAAAGTAGAAAAGATAGCAGATAATGGTAGTTGGAAGAGTGAAACATTAGTAATGGGAACAGTCTACACTCCGTGAAATTATCGGCTGCCAATAATACTAATACGACCACGTTTACTAATAATTGTAGTAGAAGATGGATAGATGACTGGCTGCCGGTCGTTATAGAAACCATGGAAGAGTATCAAGCTACAATTTTTTTCCTCTTTGCATAATAGATGGCCTCGATAAATCTTTCTTTAAGTCGCAATATAGAGAAATGGCCAAAAGTTTTTCATAGCATCAGAAAAGCACAATAGACTGAAATACGTCATTTTTATGACTTATCATTCGATGTTATTATGATGTAGCAAAAATGGCATCAATGAATTTTGACAGAATCACGTCACAGGTACGTTGAAATGATCGATCGGCAAGTACTAATGATGTTTATAGGCCGAAAGACTTAAGTGGCAACTTATGTAGCAAGATGACGTCAAATGATGTTTTAATGGTGTCTCTAACGTCAAAAATTCGCCATTAAAACGTAATTTCACGTCATTTTGCTGCTTGGGAAGTAACATTATTTTGATGTTATTTTGTTAGTTGGGATATTTAGACATGTGCATTGTCTGGATTTCTACGTCGTAAGATGTTGCTGCCTTGACTAACAATTATTTTGATATTAAAATAGCTATGGAAAGTGTTCAAAATGTAGTAAAACGTGTTTGTAAAGTGTGGGAGACATGAATAATAAGCAGTATGAACAATGTATATATTCATGCATAAGGAATGGTATAAAAGGTGGTTACGCATTCCAAGCATCAGTAGTATAGTACGTTCCATCGTCTCATCCCGTATTATTAGCAATTCTGCGAATTTGTAAGTACATACCGTTTTGGTTACAACTTTTTCTTTCTTAATAATATTTTCCACACATCTCTTTGCTTTTGTATTTCTTTTGTACATTTGTGATATATGAAAACATAACTAGTAGGCATATATCAAAACAATGTCAAAATTTAGTTAGAAGATAGCCAAAAATAACCAATATAATAACATGAAAATGACAGAAAAGCGACAGACTAATGTCGACACAGACTGATGACGACATTTCAAGACGTTAAAAAGCCGTGACTTCATGATCTTTTTGGCCTTTTATTGACTTTTAATGATAATTTAATAACTCCAGAATCTTCCCAGCTATTGTGCTTTTCTGATGCTCTAAGAAAATTTTAGGCTTTTGTTTGCGTTGAGAAAGACTTAAAGAAAAACTTACTGAGATCATATATCATACACAGAAAATAAAAAAAATTGTCGCTTCATGTTGAAAAAATGTTTTGCACAAACGCAAAATGCCGGAAAAATTGTGTTATAAATGTAGAAGTAAGAAGGAAAAGATAAGAGGAATATTACGTAGCTTGTTACTTTAATTTTACTAATTATTGTTATTTATTGTTATTTTGATTTTGCTGTAAGAGATTCTTAATTATACGTCCTTCTGGAAAATTTTGAAAACCCGAGGATTCCCTTATTTTTCAAACGTTACCATTAGAACATCTCAAATAGACGCGGAAGCGGAATGGCCTTGTTTATTTGCATTTGAAAGGTAAATGCAGGTTCGCTTTTGATTTATAAAGATGAGGCGATAAACACTTCTTCCATTCATAGATTATTATCAACGAGGCTTCTACAACTCAAGACTTGAATGGCAAGATGGCTCGTGGTTTGTTGTAAAATTGCCATACATCATAAAAATATTCACGCGGAACTCTCGAATATGCGAAAACGATGAGACCGATTTGAAACAACGGACGCAGAGCTCGAGAATGGTGAAAATAGTAAAGTGAAGAAACGACAGGAAAAAGGGAAAGCACAATCGGGACGAAGCGGCAGACGAATCGTAAAATTAAATGATGGAAATGAACTTGACGATTAGCACGATTATCCACGATTACTGCAATGCTAGCAACACTACCGACAACGATGGCCCATGCGAATGCGGTCAGAAGGTCAACGCCTGCGGAATATGTGACCTGTACGACTTCATCATTTACGGCGTGCTCGGCAGTCTGATAGGTCTCTTCGGGATCGTCGGCAACACGATTTCGATCATTGTCTTGTCACGACCGAAGATGAAATCGTCCATCAATTACCTATTGGTTATGCTGGCTATTAGCGACAACACGTTAATTATCATATCGGTACGTCATCGGTACAATCATCATTGTCCTTCTTCATATATTATCTTTACATAAGGAAAAAGATTAATCTTAAATCAAGAATAAATATTCTCATATATAAACAAGAATATTCATATACAAACAAGAACACTCATATATACACATTCATATATGAACAAGAAATCTTCTTAAAAGATTTGTAGTTTTGAATTGAGTTTAAGTAATACTTACATCGATACAAATTCAATCAAATCAAGACTAAAAGCTCTCTAAGAAGGTTACGATATTCTTGCTTATATATTAGAACATCTATTCTTGCTTTGAGACTAATTTTTTCCACCGCGTACTTTTCCTGTCGGTTTACTGCTTATTTCTTCCTCAAGAAATTTAATTGAAATTTACATTCAAAATCTTTGCTTTGTTTTACTTTAACTAAATAGCTCACGAATCGTAGGAGAAGAAGAATAGAGTTCTCTGTTTCAATTCTTCGTTTTTGTACCGTTCTCACAGTCTTCTCCCACGTCTAAACGCGGATGCGCGAGAGCAGCAAAGCGGAAAAATAAAAGAGAATGATTAAGAAATCCTCGCCTCGGGCAAAAGTAACTTTTATATAGTCAATGCATGAATCATGATCGCGGTAACATTTCAATGATTTCAAGTGCCGTTCAAGTTTCTTGTTATTTTGGTGCGAAGTTACAAAGTCACACGGAAAAAGGAGCTGCTTCATTCAGCTCGGGAAGTATTTTCGTGAATTTGCGTTATTCATTCACAAGAAAGAAACAACGGGAAATCGGCAAGTTTCGCTTACCCGATACGTCCGTTCGCAGATACTGATTTTAGGACTGATAAAGATCAACAAGTACACCGGCCTGCTGTTCCTCTACAAGTTTATCGTCTATCCGAAAATCAGCAAGCTCCTGTACCCACTTATCTGCATGGCGCAGATGACGACGGTGTATCTAACACTGGCGGTGAGCATGGAGAGATACATCGCGGTCTACTATCCGCTGAAGGTCAGATCATTCTGCACTTACGGACGAGCGCGGGCGGCAGTGCTGATTATGGTAGTCCTCGCCCTGCTTTATAATATACCAAAGTTAGTGCAACATCGAGCACGATGCCGTCGAGTCACTGTCGCTCAATCAATGAGAGAAAAGGGAGATTCAATTCTCGCGTACACATGTGTGTGTCAATTTAGGTTCTGGGAGTACGAAGCACGCGAAGAGATACACTGGAAGTACAACGTCACCGTGTACTGCATGTTCCCGACCGAGTTAAAGAACAACGATTATTACAATATCGTGTACATACATTGGATGCATTCGATAGTGTACGTTCCCTTTATCTACACACTCCCGTTCGTCGTCCTGCTGATCCTTAACACGGCCATTTATCGACAGGTGAGCGTCCACTGACTGGATGTTCACGCTCAATATCTAATTTCATAAAAAAATATCGTCGTGATTCGGCGTTTCTCTTCCGTTGGTTCCAGGTTAGAAGAGCGAACAGGGACCTGCAGAAGTTATCGCGTCGCCAGCGCAACGAGATCAACCTGACGAGGATGCTGATGTGCGTGGTGATGGTTTTCCTGATTTGCAACATCATGTCGTTAGTCTCGCAAATTTACAAATTTATCGAGATACTGCCGTGGTGGATGGATCAGCTCGGCAATTTTCTGGTTATCGTCAACAGCAGTGTCAACTTCATCATCTACATGATCTTCGGCGACAATTTCAAGAGGATGTTCCTCAAACTCTTCTGCATGTCATGGCAGCGCAGGTTCGAACGGAACAGTATGGCATTCCAGAGGTCGAGCATGTTGACTATCAGCACCACGACCAGCATAGAACTCAGTCAGTGATAACAGTTGTCTCGACCGTAGCAATATATAGGTTCGATATTGGCTATCTCTGTGTGTGTGTGTGTGTGTGTATATATGTATTCTTTGTTTTGAAGTTCTCATACAGCTTCAATAACCGCCGGTTGGCGGATGAATGGAAAAGAAAGGGCGAGAGCGATTTCGCGCTGTGGTAGGTGTTTATTATTCGGCGGAGCGTTTATTACCGTCTCTCTGGGAAATATTCGAACCAATTCTCGTGCTAGGACGCTGTGATCCCATGGAACAATGCGACGATGTTTCGAGGTCGAATCAAATTCGGTTCGACGGTTGCCCTTCTGACTGGAGATAATGGATGTACTTTCTGGGCGTGCCGGCTTGTGCCAGACATCTTGTACATAATTTTGATAGATAAATAGATAATCCGTTCGTTGATCAATCATACAGTATGTAGCTGTTTTACAATCTTCTCTCATACCATCTATTTTCACTAAGCTTATTCAGGTAGCTCTGAACGTACGTTAATTCTAAAAGTATAACTTTCATTTAATTAAACGGTAAAATTGGTGGCTTATTGCGGAAATTCTGAAACTGAGTCTATTAGATATTTTTGTGAAATTACATCTCTGCTATCCGCTACTTTGACTCGGCACAACCGACACGATTTATTAAACGACGAAATTTTCTCTCACGATAAATCCTGTAAAGCCTTTGGTATGATTTTTAACATTGCCTCGTCGGCGCTGAGAGCCTTAACTAATTTGTAAATGATTAGCTAATTAATTTCAAAACAATGTTTTATTCCCTAAATCTTGGTTTAAATAATCATTTCTTAATTTTTCTACTGTACAACGGTTTATCATTAGTCCTAAGTAAGTAATTTTTTAGTTTAAGACTCCAGACACAAGACAGTTGCGTAAGACGGAGATTTAAATCATAAAACAATATCTTCAGCCGATAAGTCAGCCATTCTGCTAAGAAATGACCCGAAGGAACAATTGATAAAAGCAGCTAACGCTGCTCAGTTGCTGTTCATAAAGCTCGAATTCGCTAAAGCTTCCTTGGCTCACCGACAGAGTGCACAGCGCTCGCATTTACAGCACAATTTCCCGAACGCAGTTAAGTCGACGGGAACGTTTCGAGGTAATTCTCTCGTTTTCGCCATTCGACGTTATTTCGCAATTCTTCTGTGAGTTTTTAACGAACAGCCGGATTTAACACCGAAGTGCGAAAACATGGCTGAAGAAAAACTGACAGGCTTCTACAAGTATTTCAATAGCTCGACCGTATATGGTCGTGCAAACGTGAGTATTATAACCTCAAAATTGTCGCGAACGACGATGATCGAGCGCAACTCTTGGAGCTTATTTTCACTTATCTCGCGACATATCTTTAAATATCCTTTTGTTTTTTCAGACATCGAAAGTTACGCTTGGCGCCACTGCACTGATCTGCCTGTACTTTTACTTCAAACCGAAGAAACAACAGACAAAAGACAATTCGAAGGAATAGTCATGTTACGTAACGATATAATGTGCAGTGCGATATAATATATGTGCAGTACTGATTCTCCAAATAAATAGCTAGATGGAATTTTGGTATAAGCTTGTCTTATGTCTGGTAATTCTTGCTGTATGTTCTCTTTATTAGTTTATAAGCGATGGATAGCTCCATAGATGGAAACTCTGGTAGAAGTTGCAGCATATGCTTGACAGCATCAGCTGCAGTTAACGATTTATGTTCAAAGGAAAGAAAAGGTCGCAAAGAAAACCTTGAAACTGTTGGCTATGTTGATGATAGAGTAGAATATATGTATCGCTCGAAGATACATGTATGATACACGATAAGTCGCAATACTACTTATTATTTAACATACATGTAACGTATATATATCTATATAATATATGTGTGTCAATGTCAAAAACTATATATATTCTATTCTGTGCCACTATTTATTATTGTACTTTATTTGAGGATTTAAAAAAGTACAGTAAATTGACAGTCTTAAATATGGAATTGATTTTCTGTCTGCAAGATTTCGCTATATTAAGACTATCCTTTCATTACTCGGCATGCCGAATATTGAGTACATATGAGAGCCATAATAGTTTCTCATCACGAGGAAGTTAAGCCATTTGTGTGATAGTGTTTGTATACTCGCATATTGGTCACTTAAATTTATTTTATGTACAGTAAAATTTATTTTATTTATTTAAAGCATATTCGAGTGGAAGAGAGGTACATTTACATGGGCGGTGAAATATATTTCTCTAATTTATTTTAAATTATAAATTAGGTATACTAAAGTTTATGTGGAACGGATTTGTACGATATGCTTTGACAGCGATGGAATAGAGACGCTGGCTGGAATAAAGTTCTAATTCCGAAAATATCATCTTTAGAAAACTATTTGAGACTTGTAGATAACTGATCTCAATTTTCATTCACAGATTACGTTCTTATCCGGTGAGCACAATGTCCAAAATCGACGCATAAGACGTCTTTAAGACGGTTTTCAGATGTTTTACTCATCGATTTTGGAAACTGTGCTCACTGAGTACTTTACGGTTACTAAATAAATCTAAACAAGAATTCCTTGTACATATACAGAGTAACTTTTAACCGATTTCTTTTGCTTCATCTATTTCTCGCAATATGTTAAAGTATACAAAAACAGTCAGAATAGTTGAATAATGAGTGCCTTTTTTTCCAGCCATTGATTACTATTAATTGATGATTCCTAAATTATATTTACAAGAATGTCGAGACAGCGGTAAGATATGATAGATAGCGCGTTTGCAAGATGATAAAATCGCACGTTATGTACAGATCGTCATTGTGTATTAAGTATACGAGTATATTTACTGGATCGCGATAGAAATTCCATGACTAGAATGGTGAATCTCTTCGTCGTATAGCTACGAGAGCGTTTTGTTTCCCTCTGTACTTAAATTGGATTTCTCCCTCCGCTTTCTCCGCTAGCAAGAATACCTATATGCCGAGAAAATCGCAAAGATAAATCTCAGTATATCTTATTTAATTATTTTGGATTATATGATTGGACGATAAAAACGTGGAATCGGAGCTTTAATTCTTGTAGTTTCGCGTGTTCTCGCGGTATTTTCCTTATATATAAGTAGAGTGTTATACAAGCCATAAATAAATAATTGTCGCAGCGGGAGAAAAGATGTATGCTTAAAAGTCGACATAGTTTCTGACGTAGAGTAATCAGTAATCGGGGAAATAGAAATGTATTTACAATTATTAGATTAACGTCTAGCTCTCTTAAGCAATCTCCATTCTTTTTTAATATACATATACAATTTTTTTTAATTATACTCGGTCGCTCGTGTATATAGTGAGGACGTTATCTTCATTCAGTGCGGATATTACCAGTGCTACTCGTGAAATTTGATACATTTTACATTTATATTTCGAGAGCACATCGAGTAATAATAGTAGCTACGTTCTTCCTCCAGCGTTTCTCGCGCATCCAGACATTCGATCGTGCGATTTACGTAGTTCTCCTTTTTGAATTTGCATTCCTAAACGACGAAAAGAAATACGTACAATATCGATCTCTTCGAGCCTCTTCGAACGAAAATTTAGAAAAATGTCTCGGCTGAAAGTTGAATCTCAAATTGTGCTTAGAAATTTGCCAATGAACGTCTCGAAGGATTACGATCGACGTTCTTTAAATATACCGGGAGTTCATTATTCGAATAATTGCGACGAGAGACGCTCTTTCGCCGGCTGACGAATATCGCTCCGACCGGCGCAAGTTTCACGGCGCGAAAAAGGACTTCCATCCTTTATAGCCGCGACGGAAGCCCTCCCGAGGGAATGTCGCGTCTTCCGTTGGCTCTTGTACTTTTGACTCCGACAAAATCCGATTTATTTTCTCGGGAGAGCTAAGTACGTGACCGACCTCTGCAGAAGTTCATGGAACCGTCGCTCCGGAGTTAGCGAATTCTCCCTTAACCTTCTCCTTTGTGCAACATTTTCCTCGCGAAAGCGGAACTTCTGATCGCGAAAATTCTTTCTTAGCCTACGTCCTGTTTACTTAGTATATATATTAATTAAAATATATATTAATTATATATATATATATATATATATTTTTTTTTTTTTTCTATCTCAACATGTCCGCGCGTGGCTCCTAAAGTTCTACTTAGTGTGGGATGAGAGAGAGGATAACGGCCGAGTGACAGAGAGCCTCGATCAATGGAAGAAGGAGCTTCCGAGACAGGAGCTTATTCCGCTAATACCAGTCTTTTATCGTAAAGAGAACAAGTTTTCTGTTATCTTAAACCTAGCGATTCAGCGATTAACGTATAATTCTGACAATCAAAAACTGGACTGCCCCGAGGAGTCCGACATTTAAGATCTACAGCAGCTCTTCTCGTTAAACAAGATCTGAAACTGGATCGTCCCGAAGTGAACGTGGCAACTTTCGCTCGGGCAGATCATCGCTCCGGAGGAGACTCGGTTGGCCCGGGCGGGCCCTCCCTTCGGAGAAGGTCTTCCGCCGCGCAGAACCTACAGGAGCTGTTATCCTTAACGACTCTTTCTTTTATATCGAAGTCGCGTTTCCCCGATGGGATTACAGCGTCCGAGCACGAGAGAGAGTGGATCGGTCCGAATTTCTCCCAGAGGAATAATAATATCCGCTGTCCACCGCAGTGCGAATTCGTCCTTCCATCCGTCCCGACCGACGGACACTTCGTCGAAGCTGCTATAAGAGCTCCTCTCCAGGACGACAGGATACACAGACGGAGAGAAAGTCAATATCGAACGTAACGCTGTATCGCGAGATACAACGCTGTTCTTCGTATTCTTCACCTGTTCCATCCTGGGTGGACCTGTCCTTGATACCAAATACTAGGATTCTTGGCAGGATTTTTGTTTGAGTAACGAAGGAAATAAGAAACGTCCACTGTGCGCCGCGGAATAGTCCGTCTCAAGTCAACGACGTCCAGCCCTGACCAGGCTATGTCCCGGTCGGGACGATGAGTCCAAGAAAAAACGCCGGAGCAACAACGTTGCGCTTATAGCTCACTTCGGTAACGCCTCAGGATGGATATCCGCTTCCGTCGGGAGACGCAGCGACATCCGTATCCTAGAATGTAACGCAGGATCGACGTCGTTCTTCTTCTCGTCTCACGAATCTCCGGCTTGAAACCAAGCCAATTGGAACGCTAACATTATCCTTCTCCTTTTCTCACAACTGCCGATCGTGACGGCCCAGCAAAAACAAGTAAATAACACCCGACCGGGACATTCGGCCGGGCGACTTTTGATTGGATAACGAACGAACGACGACGCTCGTTACAGCGTGGTGTCGTCGTTCTCTTTCCTATTATTCCAGCCGTTGTGACTGCTCGACGTCCTCGATATCTGACTGGGACTCCTCGCCGGGCTTTTCGCCGGATAATAGACGCAGGGTCCGGAGCTGACCGGCCTGGATAGCTTGACGCTCCGCCTGGTGCTGCCGTTAGATACGTGGACGTTACCACCATGGACCAAGTTGTTGTTGCGATTGATGGTGTTGCTTCGGTTGAGATTGCCGAGATGCCTGACCGAGTTCCTCAGCTCGATGTTGGTCGTATTGGTGACGATCGACTCGTCGTACGTCTGAAACTCCGGACTGTCCCGGTTGGGCCCGTGCAGCCTCGACGAGCAGAAGAGCCTGAGGAAGGTCCTCTTGAACTTGCGGCCGAAGATCACGTAGATGATGAAGTTGATGCTGCTGTTGATGGTCACGAGGAGATTGCCGACCTGCACCATCCACCGCGGCGGATCCTCGATGAACGTCTCGTAGATGTTCGAGACCAACGGCAGGATGTTGCAGATCAGGAAGACCACCACCACGCACAGCAGCATCGTCGCTAGGCCGATCTCGCGGCGTTGGTGACGCGACAGTTGTTGCAAGTCCCTGTTTGCTTTCCTGACCTGAGAACCGACGGAGAAAAGAAGGTATTATCAACAAATAGCAAATTCTACTAATGTTCCTCGATACTTTTTCCCTTCAGATATTTCTTAGTATGAAACTGTAAGCCCATTCCTTCTGCATTTGATTTTATCTGTTTGAAAGATTGAAGCACACAAAAACGATATATAATTACATATCAGTTTGATCGAGACGTTTGATTTTCAACGCGAGCAACTTTTCGAAAAGGACACGTGTATAAAGTTCATTCGGTTAATTCCACATTTGTTCGTTTTGCCAATCATATAATGTCGCTCGGGCGCTAGCGACATTATGTAAAATCGTACACTGGAAAGAGAGAAAGAAAGCTCCATAAAGATTTAATTGCCTGGAAAATTACTTTAAAAAAAAGTATGAGTTTAATGAATGTGCACGAGTTGGAGAAAATCCAATTTTATTTGGTCTCGATGTCAGTTCCGTAACTTAAAATACCGCTCGCATAAAATTCGCAATTGCGCGGTTTTAATTCTTTCCCTAAGCGTATCCGACATTTGCTAGAATGTAATTAAGAATTTTTCTCGTCAGACTGAGTCCCATGTCACACCGGTTTTTCGGTGTTGCGTGTGCAAAGTTGAGAGAAAAGTAGAAAGTAGAAAGAAACAGGTCAAAAACAAGGTGAGAAAAGTCAGCGCGAAAGAACATCTTTTCGCTAGCCGCTGTTAATTGAAGTATTCGTTTCAAGACTTTTTCGCCGGTAAGTTCTGTCTTTTGAACTATTGCGAGAAGAGGAGAGATGGGAGGGGAGATACAATATAAATTACTCTCGACAAATTTTCTACGCGCCGAAGATAATAAATCACTATCGTCAAAAGAAGATAATCTACCCAACTATTCATTTCGCCTCGGAGTTATCTTAATGATCACAAAGATGTTTTATCGTCGTCAGACAACATGATAAAGCGATGCTCTCCGCGCTTTATGAGAGAAATATGCTTTTAATAAGCGTCAAAGACGCGCTCTTAACTATAGAATTACGGTCGAGAGGATATTTATATATTACGCACAACAATTAGGGGAACGTTTGATACTTCCTGAAAGAATAGACAAAATTCAAGCAACTAATTTCGTTAAAAGTTAGGGAAATCCATGTCCCGCTGACGTTAGTTCTGAAATAGAAAACGCTTCAATGTACATTTCTTAAACTAGTACAGTGGCGAGAAGGCAGACCTATGATTAAAAAAATAGTTATTTGCGAGACAATATATAATAATTTTCAAAAAATTACAATGTATTTTGTTAGAGAAACACGCTTATTTTCCGTACCTATGTCAGCTCTGACGTTTTTCCTCTACGTGATTGCCGCGTGTTGCAAAATTTACGAGGTGTTTTCCCCGACGGTGGGGATTTCACCGCCGTCATTCGGCGACGTTTCGACGCGGCGCGACGCGGTGACGATAAGAGGCCCGCGACGGAACTTGAGAGAGCATTGTCGTAAGGGAGCGTCGAGACGGTGGGAAGTCGAAGACGAAGGAAAGGAGAGGAAGCTACAAGAGAGAACCGGAGGGAGATTCCCGGCGCACATCGAGACATCATGGACGTCTCTCGCACAGTTCCCCGGTGGCCCAACGGTAATACAGCTCCCCGGACACGTCGTCGTCGGGCAGCTGCCAGCTTTCTGGCGTATTATTTCGGCAGGAACGCCGCGCGGGAGAACTACGTGTTCGCGGTGATTGCCGTGCGTGACGTAGTCCTGATGCTCCTCCGTCCGGATTTACGATCACCCTTCGGCGAAAGCGTACTTCCCGCTTGGAGGAAAGAGCTGATGATGATGCTCCCGCCGCACCGGTGCGGAATGGCCCCTGCAGGAGGAGGTGGAGGATGAGGAACCGCCGGTGGAATTTTTAGCGCGAGAGTACGCTTGCATTCTACTCCGATCGACTCATCCGGCGTGTTTTGACGGAACGCGCGAGAGAATGTCAGCGAATAAATGCCAGACAATTTATCGTATCTTTCGTTATCGAGCGAGTGATCGTAGGGACGTGACGGAGTGAGAAAAGCGTTCGTTCCTATGTGAAAATGATAACCGGCTATCTTTCTCTTCTTCGTTCATCGACTTTTCATCCTGTCTCCAAACTGACACAGAACGCGCGCTACGCACTACATTCTGTCGATTGCTACTGCACAATCAAGGTAATTAGCATCGCAGGGAAGAGACCACAGGGATGATTTCGACAATTTGGTATATCGGTATATCGGCTTAACATGCCTCCCTTTTGAAAGGGATTCCTCGCACAGCTGAGGAAGAGGAAGGAAGAGCGCGGTATGCAATAATAATCGCGAGGATAATTGCAACGATAATTACTACGCTGCCGGATGGCAGAGTCGGTAACAGCGTGTGTAATAATCGCGCCATGGAAAGCCCAAACCCGGCAAATTAAGATTGATACGGCGATGGTGGAAGACATGATTTATGAGATATGATAGATCGGAAATTCGCAATTTTGGATTCCCCGCGCCGATTCGTCTCAATTTACCGATTACATTTCCTTCTTTTCAGGGCGAAACATTCCCCCTCTTCGCCGATTTCGCCGCTTCGAGATCGTTCGAAACACACTGCAGCGAGTTCCGCTGCTGAAACAATTACGCGAGGACGCGAGAATTGGGTAGGGTTGATTATTATTAAGAGCCTCGCGTGGACGGATTATTATGCGCGTCGCGCGTCGCCGAATTTCCGCGCGCGTTACCTCGGATTACCACATCCGGTTCACTTGCTACGCTCTTCGAGCTACGCCCGGTAGATTATTAATGGAATTATTATACTCGTCCTGCGCACAAACATACACACACATACACACACACACACACACACACAGACAGTGTCGTGGGACGGAAGGCGAATCGCAATTAGCACGAGTTCGTTGTGTGTATCAAAGTGCCGCGAGTGTCCCGAAACTTGAGGGAACCTTTGAACAGATCGCGCGATCAGATCGGTGAACAAGTCGGTGACGAAACGGCACTGCTAAAAAATCGCTCTGTAAGAAATCATTGAAATGCAAAAATTGATTTTTCGATCATTTCAAAGGTCCGCTAAATTTCTTCAAATGCGCGTAACTTCTGCCTTTCTGTTCGCTTACGAGCCGGTGGAACCGTATTTTTAGACTTTTTTGATATCGCCTCTTTCTCACTGAAACTCGTGAACATCCCCGTGGAAATCCCCATGAACAATATGGAAAATTAGTTGCGGACGTTGTCGAGGGAATATGGAATCGTCAGCGACGTGTCGCCCGCCTCGTTGTAAAATTCACTTATGCAATTCAGGGACGCGTTTAAACGCGCTCTGGTATTTTCCCGAGCTTTTCCCCCTTCCGGATTTTCCGTTTCTGATTGAAGACGCGACGAAGTGCCATCCGCGCCGTTCTACTCGCGTTCCGCCGTGCGCGAAACGTCACGAAGTTTCGGCTAGGTGAGCTTCGAGTCGTCGCGGTAGTAAGAATTTCAAGTCGAGGTTAGAGGCTCCTCCGCGTTCGCCGCATGAATATTCTCATTCGAGTCTGTCTCACCTCTCACGCGCTCCTGCCTTCATTCCGCGGTCTAATCCGCTCGCGCGAAGTCATCGGAAGTTATCCCGAAGAATATCGCCGCCGAAAACGGTCCTGATCCTGGAATTAAGGACGCGGAGTTCACGGACTCTGAAGTTTTGCGATAAGGGAAAGCCGAAGGAAATTGTTGTCCTTCGACACTGCGGTCTTTGTGATTTCAGACTCTCCCGGGAGATATATATATATGGGGCGACACTATGCGTCGCAGCCAAACCCTAAGGGCCCGCGCTAGTATCGAGCATTCGGATTTTCACGTGATATATCATTCAGATCGCGCGTATCTCCCGCGAGATAACGCGATCCGCGACCCGGAGGAATTTTACCCGAGGCTTCTTCAAGGCTCTATGATGCTCGCTCGTTCATTTACAGCAAGCTAATAGCGGCGTTAATTTCTCATCCCTCACTCCCCTTTCTCTCTATCTTTCCTTGCACTCAAAATCGTATATAAGAAGAGGAGAGAAAAGAGAGAGAAAGAGAGAAAGATGCACGGGAACGTTTTTTATTACTCCTACGTTGTACGTCGCGTTTCTAAAATTATGTATACCATCAATTTTAACAGGTCTGTTCTTTGTACGCGCTGAAGGTAGCGTATACTTCCGGAACTTAAGAAGAAACAGACAGCTGTGATACTTCGTGTAAAAAAAGAGAAAAACTAAAACCATGCTGCAGGCTAAGTGCAGCGGCAATTCAGCTATAAAGAAAGAGCAGACCGAATATTTTCATCAGCGGAGTGCGACAATTGTTTTGTAGCATTTCATTAGCGTATTAGCTCCTCTCGCGAGTGCCTCGTGCGTTATTATTCTACAAGTAGCGCGGAGGGATGGAATTGCTCGCGTCTGCAGTCGCTCAAGCTGGCACGTGCGGTGGTAGCGGGTCCGTGAATTTCGCCACTCTCCGTACGTGCTTTTATATGCTCGGTCCGCGCGAATTCCGCGCGCGTGTGCCCGCTTCCCAGGCACACACACTGGAAGGAACTTTTATACTCCGGCTAAACTTTATCGGCTTATTATTCGTATTTTATGTCACGCTTTATCGACAAGCCATAACGCCTGCGGTCTTATTGCGGTTACATCAGCCCACCCCGACTTCCACCCCCGCCGTCTCTCGCTCTCCCTTTGCCGCGACCTCTAAAAAGAAGTTTTAATAAAACGGACCGGATTCGCCGGGAGNNNNGGGGGGGGGGGGGGGGGGAATGTTAGCTGGGAGAGGAGCCCGCGCGACACGTTGCTCGATATTTCGCGTTCGACCGGCCTTCCGCGTCTCGCACTTAAGAGAGATGTGTTATCGTTTTCTTCCCTCCCACTGCGCCGTCAAACGCGACCGTTCGATTCCGCAGTTTCACGATATAGCTGAGTGAAATCGGGTTCTCTCGCGATAACGTCGATCGTTTCTTCTATGCCGCTTTATGATTAATTCAATACGCGTCGAACTCTGACACACCGAGAAATATTCGATACATTCGGAACCCATTTTTTTTTTTTTGAGCAAATGTAGATCATAACTTAATAAATAAAATGGCTCATAACGAAACTGGCTGTAATTTGCAATAGAGACCGATAAGTTCTCCTCTCGGCGCATGGAATATGAAATATGTGTCAAATCTCGAGCGTTAACTTCGCCAGTGGATAAAACTCACCCGTCGATAAATGGCCGTGTTGAAAATCACCAGCGCGATGATCGGAAACATATAGTACACGAAGAAGTACAACCAGTGTATGTACAGAGTGACGTAGAAATCGTTGCTCCTCATCTCGGTCGGGAAGATGCAGTAAATCGTGACGTTGTACTTCCAGTGTATCTCGACGTACACTTCGATCTCCCAGAACCTAAATCGACACACACGTGTACGCACGTAAGAATTTCATCCCCGTTCTCTTATTAGCCGAGTACTAACCCGACGGTAAACAGCATCGGTATTGTACTAACTTTGGTAGATTGTAAAGAAAGGCGAAGACCACTATGACCAGCACCGCCACCTGCGCTCGTCCGTAAGTGCAGAATGATCTGGCTTGCAGCGGATGGCAGACCGCGATGTATCTCTCCACGGTCACCGTCAACGTTAAATACACCGTCACGATCTGCGCCATGCAGGAGAACGGATACAAGAACTTGATGATCTTCGGGTAAACGATAAACTTGTAGTGGAACAGTAGGCCCGTGTACGTGTAGATCGCTGGCAGTCCGTAGATCAATATCTGGAATGAACGTGTAATCAATATCTGGAAGGATGTAGCAGGTGAGCGAAATTTGTTCGCTTTTCTCGTGATTTTCCATCGTTTCATGGGAGATTGAAATATGGTGCACACTATATATCATGTGTATGCCTCACTATTGTGAGTAGAAGTTATTTACATAATTATCAGCCTTACGTACACACGCATAATACTAGGTTTGAGCAATAACTAGAACGAAAATTACAGGATCGTTCTAACCTTATCGTTATAATTAGAACATTAAGACGTTCTAAGACGTCTCTGAAATGTCTTGCAGGCATACGTGTTGTGTGGGATATGTAAGACATATGTGACAAGGCATAAGACCCTTCGCAGTATGTACATTGTAACTACTTGAGTTGGCGTCACTCAGGAACACTCGCGCGTCGAGCGGAGAAACGGGACGGCCTGACTTTCGTGACGCATAGTTATTAGAAACTTATCGACGTGCTTTCTCGCATCCCTCGGACACCCCGTTAACGAGATCTTTGCCGCGAACTTGCCGCCCGTTGCAGAAAAATTATCTTCCACTGTTATTTTATCGCCAGCGATCTTTTCATACGGGGACACGGTTATTTCCGCGTGCATGCGTGATGCTCTTACGACGTAAGAGACGTTTGATTGACGAGTGCACAAATAGCTCGTTAATGAAAGAACGCGGGGTCAGGGGAGTATTCGCCGTATGATTAATTAATAACCCGGGGTGATTTACGTGGCGCGTCGTCCTCGAAAGGGTTAACTGCGCGTTACGGGCTTTCGGCCTCTCCGGCCCACTTTTGCCGGAAGCGTGCCTGTGTTTACCGTCACTCTTATTAATCTTGGCTTTATTCACGAGGAAACCGTGCGACTGCACATTGGGACTCATTTACACAAGACTTGACACGCGGATCACATCCCGATATTATCCTAACGCACATATACGCGATGCATTTTTAATGAGTTCGTTCTTTTCTTCTCGTCGCGAATTTCCTCATCGCGAAGAATCACGAGTGAGAGAAAGAGAAAGAGAGAGAGTAGATTAAGAAAAAGCAATCATGACGTTATTTGCTGCTTGCCTGCACGTTGATTTCTAAGTCGACATATTTTGCAGAGACAGAGAATTTTCTCTCCCGTAATAAGATTTCCCTTCAATGTTATCGTATTTCTCAATTTATGAGTTTCCACTACGGTGGATCTCGCCGGAAGATTCATTTTACTTGTGGCTTACATTTTTTCAGCTAAAGATGCGTATATACATGTGTTCTTCCAAGACAAAACTTTTGAATTGAATAATGATGGTGATTAAAACTAAACGTGCGAGGAGCGTTTCCTTGTTCGCCGACAACGAGATTTTCCTCTCCGCAGTATTTTCGGAGTCCGAGGGAATCACACACGAACCGTATGCATATTCGAGATAAAAATATGAAAGCAGAGGTGAAGTTATAAATTACACCTTTAAAGAAATAACCTAAATTACAGGGGGAGAAGCGCAAAGTGGAACGCACGTGGTATACATCGCATTTATTTTAATAGGAAGCGGACGGCTAAATCGTTGCAAACTTATCGCCGCGCAAAAACGCAGGATTAAGAACGATATTAAAACGAGAGGTCCGCATTTCATTACTATGAGCCATAACGTATTTGCCTGATTTTTGCCTTCTTTTTTTTGTGTCCCTCTTTCTTTCCTCCTTTCTCACTCGTTAATAAAGGAGCACGTATATAAAAGGAATATTCCGGTTGGGGTGACCCTTGAATGAAGATCCATCGTTGCACGCAATATATTAATTAAATTAGTACGAGATTATACTTGGATAATGAATGCGCAGTGCGTTCCTAACATAAAGCTTCGAACTGCACTTCTTTCATCATCGTCTCTGCGATATCAATATTTCTCGCGAATGGTACGAAACGTTATTTTCCGGTTTTCGAAGTCTCACGCCAAGTTTTACGCGAGTCGCCCTGTACGTACAGCCGAGGCTCAAAAGCTTGTAATAAATTCCCGAATCTCTCATTGTTTCACTTTTTTATATCTAATATGAGATAAATTCATGAGAGCTATTGAAATTTAAAACTTTTGCAGGTTGAAATCTGTTGACTGAAATCTGAAACCGAAGTCAAAGAGCAAAAAATGTTCATATGTATTTGCAACTGAGGAAAATTTTGTAAAGATTTTGCATGCTTATTTATCAACTCGAAATTATCAGATGTCGCAGCGTTGAAATAAATCGTCGCTTTTTTCGACTTCGTGTTTTTTTTTTTCATTTTTTTTAACGACAGGTCATCCCGTATGTTCGACAGAACGGAGTTAAATTCATGGCGTTCGGAAAGTTGACTCGTATCACTTTCGGCATGAGTGCTCTTGGTGTTTGAAAAGCGTCATTAATAAAAGCCGGTCAACAATAACAAGGCGTCGCGATAAGCCCTACGGAAACGCGGCTCAATGGCTCGGAAACGATGCGAAGCGTTGGATGTTTTTTCGAAAAATTTTATCTGGCTACGGTTCGCACGCATGATTGATTGACAGGCCAGCCACGGTGACAGTAAACGCCAGGTCATATCGGCAATTACGAGGCATTCCACGATCCCATCGAGATTCATTCCTGGCCGTGGGTGCCAATTAAACGTTGATTTTCCGATCGGCGAATCGTGATTCGGATATCGCAGTTATTCACGCGGCTCAAACGAAAATGAAGTTTCTTCGCTCGAAGTCGCGTTTTCTAAGCTCTGCCTCGTAAAATACGAGGCGGACACCAACTTTAACTCATCCCATTAAAGTTCATCGTTATACGCAGGCAGGTTAATAAAAAAAAAAATAAATAAATCGCATATTACCATAGCTGCAAGTTAAAAGTGCCGTATGTTCGACAGCCGTTTGCCGTTTGCCGTATGTCCATAAAAGAAAAATTACATAAAATAAATTGAAAGTCAAATTAAATTAAATTATTTAACGTGGTGTGACAAAAATGAAAACTGCGTTCATCATGTAATTATTTATTACTTCTCCGTTTAATAGTTTGATGAGTAGTAGTTAGTGAATAAATAATTAAGATACGATGAAAAATAATGACATTAATGTTTTACATGAATATAGATTATCTCTTCGCATGCAAATTAAGGAAATAATTTCGGAAAGCTCTCGAATTAGTCTTGGCATATTAACTCTTTAAGGTTGATTTTTGTAGTAAAAACGAAAGATTAGTCGACCGTTAAACCGGATGTTCACTCCGATCGTTTTTTCCGCGTAAAACGCGGAGTATCTTGCTCCACTTTACGGTGTTACATAATAATTTTATCTGATATAAAATTCAACCTCATTTTCCCTCTGTATATATGGAACGCGAATTCGCGAAAATATTTTCCGAGCTGAACGATGCGTTGTGTTTTCCCGCGTAACTTCGCAATTTTAGGTCAAAGTATCGGGAAACGGCTCTTGAAATAGGTGAATCGTTATTTACTGCGTTCATTATTCGTATACATTAGTCATATAAAAGTTACGTTTGCCGGCAGCGGGAATTTCTTAATCGCTCTCTTTTTCTCCGCTTTGCTGCTCGCTTACCCGCTTTTTAGACGAGCAGCATGTGAGAAGAAAATGAGAATGGAAGAATTTAAACATCTCTGTTCCTCTTATATGACTCGTGAGGTATTCAGCTGACAAGTAAAACAAAGCAACGAGAACTGTGAGTGTCGATTTCAATGAAATATCTCGAGGAAGAAGGGAGCAGTAAATCGGTGTACAGAAAGAAGAAGTATACGAAGAGCGACGAAAACTTACCGCGACGATAATCAGCACGGTGTCGCACCTGGCCAGTCCGATCAGCAGGTAATTGATAGAGGACTTCATCTGCGGCCGTGACAAGATAATCATCGAGATCGTGTTGCCGAGGATTCCGAAGAGACCTATTAGGTTGATGAGCACGCCGTAAATGATGAAATCGGACAGGCCATACGAGTTAATCTCCTGATCGCATTCGTATAGGAGGCTGCTGTTGACAACGGAGTGGCTGGCATTGTAGTAACCGGGTATGATCGTGGTCGAGTTCATTTCCATCGTTCAGTATTGCGATTCGCCCACCGCGCTTCGTCCGGATTTCACTTTCCTTCTTTTCCCTCTTCTCGTCCCTTCACGTTACCATTTTCACCCCCGCAAGCTCTGTGTTCGTTTTTTCCTTCCGCTTGTGCCTATTTGTTTGCTATTTCGGTAGAGTCTTCGTGCTCTTCAGATTCTGCAACTGAACGTGATTTTTGTTATCAACATGATTTAACATGGTTTGCTGCCATATACGCCCCAAGTTAAATTTCCTGTTTAGGCCGTTTCATATTTAAGTGAGTCTTCAAGGGGAGAAAATAATCCTATTTTTATCTTTCAAAGGAGCACAATAAGTTCTCCTTTAATGCTACAAACGGGAGTTGAGATCTTCAGAGTCTAAATTTTAAACTTTCAAACGGAGGAAACGGCAATGACTTTCCCATTTGTAGCATCAAAGGAGCGCCAATAAAAGGGCATTGAAAACTTAACGTAGAAATAAATCAGATTTCAAACAGGACTAAATTTCGATCCAACAATGATGCCCTCGTTATTACGTCGGCATCAATTGTTCTCATTCTTATAATATATTCGTTGGGACATCGTTATTCTCTCATCATTGTTAACAGACATTAAATGATGACAACATCGAATTGTGTGTATTATAATTGAAAATGATTGAAAGCTCTTATTTTTATGAAAGAAGATTAATTTCAGCAATAAGAGAATATTAACTTTACGCTTGGAATTGCCGGTGAAAAAGAGTTTCAAGCGAAAACTGTTCATATGGGATCGGATGTATATGAGAGAGAGTACTTGTTTGAAAAGTTGAATGCCACGTGTTTCGAGCTTATAGAATCTCTCGATTGTTCTTTTTGTTCGACGTTAAAGTCGATAGACTTTTTTTTCCCGGGAGGGACGCAAAAAGGAAGAAACTCTCACATTTGTTATCAGATATCCGGGCGAACTCGCTTTGTCTCTCGTTGCCGGAAGACCTCCGGGTTCAGGTAGCATAACGTCGTTCCCACGTCGCGCGATTTATCTCTCTCTGTACATTACCGTCAACTGTCTCTCGGTCTGATCGTTTTCGCGTCTCGGAAAGTTCCGCGTAGATGCTTTTACGATGTATCGCGGTTTTACGACGAACCGCGAGCCGTCTTGCCATCCGAGTCCTGGGCCGCGGCTGCCTCACCGGCGGTAGTCTGCAGGCTGAAAGTAAGAAGTGCGTTTACCACCTCATTCTCATAAATCAAGAGCGAACGTTTACTTTTCAAATGCGGGAGTAAACAGAGCCGTCCATTCCGCTCCCGTGTCTACGTAAATTTGGAATTTTCCATCGGACAACGTACGAAAAGTGAGAGAATCCTCGAATCCTATCAACATTTCCCAAAGAGATGTGGTAATTAGGAATTTCTCCGAGCGAAATCAAAATAAGAAGTAATATTATTTTTTCATCTTTTCCTTATGCTCATTTCACTCACTCGTATTTGGATACGATTTCTCCTGTGCATCTCATATACACGCATATTTCCCACCGGCGGGAAAAGGCTTTTAAAATACCAAGATGAGAGAGTGTCATAAAGTCGTATGTTATTATTATTTTTATTTTATACACATTTATGTGCCACTCAAGTTCCCCCTTCCTCCGTGTCGCCATCATCGCGCCCGTTCGCCGCGCGTTCGTTGTTATTCGATTTAAAGTTTCAACAAGCGCGAGGACGCGTTGTTAACCAGTTGATCGAGCGTAACGAGCCAACAACATCGGGCGTGTCTCGTCGTTACATGACTATTAATCGCAACGTTTACATTCGACTTCTCGAGGGACATCGCCGAACTTGATTGCAAACAAACACGGCTGTGGATCTAGCGCGTCGCGATAGAAAGTCATTAGAGGTGTCCCGTCGCTCAGTGTTGCGCGGCGATGTGCGCGCGCGCTTTCGTCCATTTACTCAGGCCCGGGAAAACGTTCGTTTTCACGCGCGCGCGGAGAAATTCTGACAGGTGATAGCGTGCGGCTTGATTTATCGATCGGATTACGAGGCCGCCTTCGTTGGCACTCGCCAGATGCTCCCAAGTTAATTGGACCGTCGTCGAAACGTGAGTATTTAAACCGTTCGGTTCGGTCAAGTGTTCGGTTAGGCTAGGATTCAGACACGATGGAAAGAACAAGTAACGGGAAATTAGATACAGGCAATTAGGAATAAGATGATTAGGGATTGACTGTAGCTTAAAACGCAATAACGCCTGTTTCTGGTCGTCACGGCGGAAATCTAATCGACGATTAAATCGACGTAACGACTTGTATTCGCGCTTTAACGTGCCTCTTTATCGAGACCGGCGCTATCGTAAGATCGCATTGAATCTCGTTACCATCGTACTCGAAGGTAAGATTTTCGGTTCAGATTTTCCAATCTTCGTCCGATAAGGGTTTTCCTTAGCTCTTCGAATCGTTGTGGCAATTGTCGTTTTACATTTGCTGAAACTGTGTTTCAGATTTCCTCGAGCTCGTCGTGTCTTCGTGTATCCAACAGAAACGTATGAAATGTGAGTACCATTGGAATCGGTAATTGAAAGCGGATCGCTTCACGGTTAATTAACGTGAAAGAATGTTACGATGTTCTCTTTTTCTCTCTTTCTTTTTCTTTGTATACCCACCTGCCCGTCCACCTACTCGAAAATTATGCTCGAATTATTTTAACCGATTCAACTCCGATTACAACAAATATTATATTTTACCGTATAAATATCTGAATTATCTGACGGAACGGAAGTAAAAGCGAATGAAGTCACTGGGGTCGAAAGGTCGGGCGGGTCGTAATCTGCTTAAACGCAAAATAATTTTTGTTTGTTTCGAACATGCGCGCAATGTTCGCAGCTTGCACGAGCGTTCGCGCATTTTTAACGACGTTGTTTTAGACGCTCGTTTCCACGGTACTCGCATTTCGCTCAATTATTATATCGCAGCGCTCACCTTTTATCATCCGACGAGAAAAATTCTAAATAACAAAGTGACGTCCGAATAACGAACTAGTTTTAAGGCCAGAAGAAAACCAATTAGATATCCTAAATCATATTTCCCTAAAACCCATGCGTAATTACGAAGAGATTTTGAATTCTCTCTTCATAATGATGCTGCGATAATTTCAATTTTAAATGGAAGATATATTTATTAATTTTAATGTAAAATTAAATTAACTATCAGAGACGCTATTACTTTCAAGAACATTTTTTAACAATGTGGTCTAAGAATTGACGTCTTATAAACGTCTGTGAGATTATAAATGACCGAAAATAAACGTCATTATGTCGTCACTCTGCTACTTGGAATCCGTGATGAGAATCTCGTTTACGGAATCGCGACGGGCGTGACAGGTTGAATAGAGTCGTATGTAATCGCGATCCCGGTCACGCTGCGATTGCGTGCGTGCGTGCGTGCTTTCGCGTGCTTACACAAACACACGCGTACGCGCGAGCGTAAGGGCGTGTAAAGCGGCGATACAAGAGCGAATTGATTATAGTCGCCGTCGCATATCACAGCTGATCGCTCCGGCGACGTTCCGTTTGAAGCAATTCTCCTCCGCGTTCACGTGCGGCAGGTTACAACAGGTGTGTGTGTGTGTGTGTGTGTGAATGTATTTGTATCGGCAATTGATACACCTGCTCGGATACATCGGCGATCCTGCACGCTCCGTTACGCTTTTCCATCCTGTGGCCGTTCCAATTTACGCGTTTCGCGCGGCTTGTTTGCCGTCAATGCGTGCCGGCAGCGCGCGCAAACTCGATTGACTTTGTGATTTTCAGCAATTAGAGAGTCGAACGGATGTGTGTAAGAGAGACAGAGAGAGAAAGGTGACACGTGGTGAGAGATCACACGCGCTTTTTCCGCAGAAATATGTTCGTCCGACGGATGAAAGAGCCACGCGCTTTTGTACGATGCGTTACCGCTAATCAATAACAATTAATGCGAGCTTGTTCATGAGATAAATAAGCTCAATAGGTATTTGTTGGTACATTTCATTTATTCGTGAGATACATTCGTACGTGGAAGCAAAGCCGTTCGACGGATCGTAACACGTTTGAGTTTGTTCGCAACGTACGATAGATAATGCGGAGCGTGCACTCGGGATGATTAATTTAATTTATCGAGGCGAATTGGTACGCGGTGAAGATCAAACCTAATTTTCGGAAATAGCCCGCCCTGTGTGGATGCATGTTTTCGGTGCCGGGCTTATAATACTCGGAAACAAAGGGAACCTTAATAAATATCCCAGATAGCACACAATATTTATAAAATATTTAAAGAATGTGGATATTAAATATTTTGTAAATATCCAAATGTCTGGGAAAGTCAGGTACGAGGAAGGTTAGGATAAGTACTCGAGAAATTTATTATAAATATTTTTCATAAATCATTGAAACACACGGTTTTACTTAAATGAAATCATGTTTTTATTATTATTGTGACAAATATTCTTCGTCAATATTTTCGAATATTTATCATAATCTTCCTCACACCTGACCTTCTCGGACATTTGAATATTTTCGAAATATTTAATATCTATATTTTTGAAATATATTATAAATATTGCACGTTGTCTGGGATCTCAGCTGTAAGGGTCGCTTCGCGTTTCGCTCGGCACCAATAATTGAACACCAATGACTGAAACATTAATAATATATGTGTTTATTAAGATGCTTATCAATAAATGAAGCAAAATCATAATAAACTAACTAAACATTTCTTTTCATTTATTATATTATATCGTATATTGAAAAGCATCTTAATAAAGAAAAATACATCAATAATATTTTAATCATTGAGACATATATGTTTAATCGTACTAGGACATTTACCTTATTCGAACATTAAGAGCATTAGTATTATACATATGACATATTCACAAACATATACCTAACACAGACAGTCCCAGCCAAAAATATTACACGTCAGAGCGCGAAAACTGATTGTTCCTTCACGAGTTTTTAAACATTATGTAGGTTTGATTGATATTCTCTCGCCGTAGTGTCAAAGCTGTACGTTGTAAATCATGCTTATAAATATTTTGCGCTAAGCTTCGTCGAGTTCCTCCGTGTTGTATTAATCGTTACCTTTCCAACGGTATTTTAAACGACGTCACGAACGAGCCGCGTTTGAGCGGGAACGTTCGTGCGAAAAAGTCTCACGTTTTTCATGCAGACTCGGCGTAAGCGCTCCGTGCTTTTTGGTCTTGGCACGTGTCGGCGTTTAGAAACGACGACGGTGGCTGGCCTCTTTGATAACCTTGCGTAATAGCGATATTTGCGCGCGTCGAAACAGAAACGCAAGCACGCAAAGATACTTTGCACGAAACACGCGCGACGTGTGCACGCCAGAATAATCACGGCTGTCGAGTGTCCGCCGGCGTTACATGTGCAATCAGTGTCCGGACTTTGAGGCAAAAGCTATGAATCAGGTACTAACGCAATGAATCAGGTACTAACGCTATGAATCAGGTACTAATTCGCGGAAGAAAAAGTCAACCTTGATGATAAAATCGCTGGTACTCTAATTCGTAGATTCAGCAAAATACGAGGGCGGTCCGATAAGTACTTAGCCTACAAAAGAAAAACGAAAATTTTGGAAAAGTGGCGATTTATTTCTCAACATAGTCTCCTTTTAGCTCGATACATTTGACCCAGCGATGCTCCAACTTCTTTAACCCATCTGAAAAATACGTTTTCTCGAAGTCTGCAAAGGCCTCCGTGGCGGCGATGACCTCCTCATTCGGCTCAAATTTCTGCCCGGCGAGTGACTTTTTCAAGTTTGGAAACAAAAAAAGTCGCACGGGGCCAAATCTGGAGAATACGGTGGATGGCGCAGCAGTTCGTAGTCCAATTCGACCAATTTGGCTGAATGAGGAGGTCATCGCCGCCACGGAGGCCTACTTTGCAGACTTCGAGAAAACGTATTTTTCAGATGGGTTAAAGAAGTTGGAGCATCGCTGGATCAAGTGTATCGAGCTAAAAGGAGACTATGTTGAGAAATAAATCGCCACTTTTCCTAAATTTTCGTTTTTCTTTTGTAGGCTAAGTACTTATCGGACTGCCCTCGTACATTCAGCAAGTCGCGATTAATACTTTTAACAAATCGTTTTGCCGTCTGCGCAGCAACTGACGGATTTTGCTATATAAAATTTTCTATGCCGGCGAATTATATTTTTCCATAAGAACAAATTAATAAACAACGTAGGGAAACACTATTTTATTCGAACAATAAATTAACGTGTTCTAAAAACAAATTCACTTAGCAGAATATTTTCTATCCTGTTTCTGCTCCAATTACGAGTAATTCGTTAATTCGGTCATTCCAACTAAATTGCGTCGCTGTCACGACACGATATGTGTGGTAGCAACGTTGATGGTTTCGCTGCAAAATGGCACAATTATTTTCCCCCGCGCGTTTTTCCACCACGTACGACATTGCATCTGTCAAATGTTAATTACGCGATTTTTTCATATTTCACGCAAAACGACACGCTTACCGCGTTCGCCCGGGATTACTCCAAGCCCCGAAATTTGTTCTAATGATAACGATAACGACACGCGGCGTGTTCTTTTCATGTAAATAATGTCGTGCTGTCGCACCCTCGGGGGGTGAATATTGCGAAACGTCACACAATCAACGGGACATTTCGGGACACATTGGTACGAGTCACCAGTAAAAAAAACGAAAGAAAGGAAAAGAGAACATACATATAATATCTCCCCAATTCGCGCGGAGGATGTACTCGAAGAACATATTTTCTTACTGTCGCGAGGAGACCTCCCGAGTAACTTTCTTTCGGATCATATCTCCGCTTGTGAAACTTTTTATTCCGTCCTTGTCGTGCGTCGTCAGACGCGCCTTCGCGGAGCCGTCTTTTTCGGCGGTCCTGGGACGCTCCTTGCGTGCTGGAACTGGAGAGTTCATGATTTATACATGTGTAGGAGAAATTTACGCACGATCAAGCTGAAGGAAACCTTCCCCGGCATTTCGGATTAGTTTCCTCAAACATTGCATATATGCGTCTTCGCGTAGAAAGCTCTATTATCTTAATTATATGTCATATTAATTAGTCTCAAACGCGTTGTGTAATCGCAAAAGCTCTCGTTGAACGAGAGAATCTCGCTAATTATTTTGTTCCATCCTCCTCCCCCGCCCTTCCTTCTGTATCTATTCACTTCCCTTCGAAACACGCGCGAAACCGTGAGAGGAGATTTCGAAATGTGCGACGCGTCGCAAGAATGCACCGAGAGGGTGATTTACGAGGGCTCGCCGGCGTTTGCGCGAGATGTATCCGCCTGCAATTTGCAATTCGCAAGCGGCGCATTTTTTTCTCCACCCCCTCGGGATGTCGCAGATTAATTCGCGGCTTTATTACGACAATCGCCGGCGCGCATATCCTTCTTTCTCGTTCCCGCACCGTTAACCGCGATCTTTACGTTCGTGCGCGAGCAATCGCAATTTTCGGATGGCAACACACACACACACACATCCCGCAGACAAAGGCAGCGAATTCTTTCTCGTCTCCGTAACGCGCGACGTAATAAACTGTGTCCTCGTTTCTCTCTGTCTTTCTCTCTCTCCCTCTCTCTCTCTCTCTCTCTCTCTCTCTTTCTCTGAGGAATTAAAAGCAATTAATGCTAGCTTAAGGATAAGAATTTAATAGTCACCCTTGCACTTACATTCTCGCTAACATTTGCGCGTCGTTCATGCTCATATCGAGAGGAAATCGCGGGAAATTAGCGCGCACACCAAGTGGATATTTTTTATCGAGCGAAGCTCACACTCGTAGCAGCCGGACGTCGATAAATCTTTTTTCGCGAGCGGGAACATTTATTCGGGGCTACTGTGCACACACACACGCCATTGTCCGTAGATGTGTGCGCCCGGCGTAGACGTTTCTCGCGGACGGCGTTATAGTTACGCAAGCCCGGGGAATGGTATTTATACTGTTGCGCGAAACGATAGTCTATTAATATAGTATAGGGTATATTCGAAAAACATCGGGACGCCCGCGTATTAATGACAGCCATCGGCAAAGTCGGAGCTAAGAAAAATGGAGTTGTCTCAGTGTCGAGACATTAATAGTTTTCGCGCCGTGAGCTGGTGAATACATATTGACTTCCCCTGGTCGCTCCGGAACTTTTTCCCACCGTCGTCGCATCGGCAATCTCGAATCGATAAAATTAACAAAAACTCGACAATTATATGTTTCATTTCATCGAGAGCGAAGGAAAGGAGAGAAGATACTTCGATCCTGAAGGTTCCTTAGAAGAATAGACTATTGCTTTCAATGCTGTCTCGGACTATTCAGACTATACCCAATCAAATTGGATTAACAGTTTCAATTTATGCGGCGGGCTGAGCATGCGACTCCCTTCCCGTTAATATACATCCTAGGCGCGCAAACTAAGGATTAAACGACGACGAGACGTTGGAGAAATGCGCGGGATTAGCATGCATGTACGTCGCTAAAACTTTTATTTACCAAGTGGGACGCGTTACGCTCGGTTTTGTTACGCCTTCGCGAAGTAGAACAGCTAGGAAATGAGATGGGATTAGCCGTCGGTTGTAGGCAATAATGCCGAAGTGTGAACAGCAGTTGCAGTCTGCGCGGCGAGTCTCCGCTCGTGGATACTGCAGGAGGCTGAGGAGAAGCTGGAGGAGGAGAGCAATCTTATTCTACTTCGTTCATTTGCATAATTGTACATGTTCGCATCGTAGGACCGCGCGTGTTCACCTCGTCCCGAAGCCGAAACGATATCAATCTTGCTGTCGCGAGGCGATCGTAATCATCCTCGAATTAGGGTCGTGTTCTTCCGTTTTCGCTGTCCCGGAGAAAGAGAAACAAAGCTCTCGGGGAAAAGTTCCGGTCGTTCCTAATGGCGAACGTAAGACTAATAGAAGAATAAGAGGAAGAAATGAGAGAGGAGAAATTGAAATCGTTGCTTTTAAATTTTAAGTGACACGAAACACCGGTTAAACAACAAGTGAAACAAATTTACGAATCATCGGATTGTTTGCTTTTTAATGGTAAGCGGACTTTAATCGGCGAGGTTGAATTTAGTTAATTTAGTAGCTTGAAATTACTCGGAATTACTTGACTGAATAACGTCTTTTTCTTTCCACATCCGCCCGCGTGTGCGCGCGGCTAGAAGCAACGCGCGAGTGACGGAGTTAACACGCGTCTACATGTGGATAGACTTTAATTATTTGCGTAGTCGGGTCATTAATCCTCGATTAGTCGTGTGAAAAGCAGCCGACTCGGACGTTAATTGCGCTCGATATAATTCCCTCACCGACCGATCTCCCTCTCTCTCTAGCCTCCGAGAACGTTTTAAATTTCTTTTATCCCCGCTGCCTTATTTATCACCTACGTAATTGCTTTATGAAACGTGATATTTTATCTTGAGCGCTATTTTTCGCGCGATCGCTTAAAGCCGCTTAATTTCAAACGGCTTAACGGTCGTTTAACGTCATTTGTAAAGAACCGGACTTAATTTTCCGGTTAAATTTACACTCCACACCTCTTTCCCTGTTTGTAAGTTTTTCTTTTATCTCGGTCTTAAATGAGGAAACCAAGCTTCCTCTTTCTGTTAAAATAAACTCCATAAAATTAAAATTAATTTCATATTTTCTTGTTACAGTTAGTTCGCATCGTGATGTAAATTTTCACTTTGCTTCCTTGTTCTTCGTGATACATTTTTTTTCGGTCACTATATTAACAAACAATTTGTTGTTCCAACAGAACTTTTTTCTCGGTTGAAATATGTATCAATTTAATTGTTTCGTCGTCGTCTCATCGTCTTTTGTTGTTTTAATTGCGTTCAATTAGCTGACGGAGATGGCGGATAAATGCTCGTCCGTTCGCTCGACGACGACGACGTACGTTTTTCACGATGTCGGACTGGCGATGCGTGAAATTATTTGACCGTTTCTTGTAACTATAGCCAGATACCTCGATTGCGGCTACATAAACAGCGGAATTATTTTCGATGCGACGTTGTCGCATTCTGCGCTCATCGCGCTCCGTCATTCTTACGTATGACCTATTTCGGAGACGGATGACCATTCTTCCGAGGAATACATCGTTGCTCTTTTGCACGCGCACATTGCTCTTTTGTTCGGGGAAGTTGTCCACGCACGTTTTCCATTAAACATCACCTTATCACGCCGCGATTATCATTCGTGTCGCGCATGTCGCTTTTACGTCAGTATTGTTGATCTCACGCATTTATGGTTGCAACATATCGAGCAGTCTTATTAATTTTGACACATCCTATAAGATAAAGCCTACTTTAAAACGCGGACTATTTACATAGTTCGCGACGTTTCCTGTCGTCGAACATTTCGTTAAAATGTCCCAATGAACGTCCTAAGTGGAATTCTAGTTGGACCAGCCAAACTTTTTCCTAAGTATAGATTCAGTAGATTCAACAAAATAATCCAGCAAATGGCAATTGGTATTCTTAAAAAGTCATTTTGCTATTCGTATAATAATCGAAGTTTCGCTGCGACAACATAAAATTTGCTGTGCCAGTAAATTATTTTTTTTCCCTATAGCTTTTTTTTTTAAATGTTTAAAATTACTATATGTCGTTGCCTGGCAAAAATCCGGTCCGAAGAATTTCCCCAATGAAATGTTATAAAAATATGAACATTATAGTATTCTCAGTTACTAATTTAAATTACTTTATATCAACATAAATTTAATGAATTGCATACAGTACGAAGCAGCGAAATGTCGATCACGATGGGAATATCATTGAATCTCGTTTTGCGGCGAAGCCGTGTACATAACGGTGTAGCTTTTCATACGGAGCTGCGGAAAAAGCTAAAAAAGTTAATTATATAAGCGCCGTAAATTCATTACGAAATATTTTCGTAACGAAATCCACGAAGATATCCGACTTATTTAACGTTCAACCGGCGACTCGTAATCCAATATTTTTTTCCCGAGGAAAAGCGTCCGCAAAGACGAGAGTTCGTTCTAGTGTCTAGGCGGAAAAAGCCTATCGTCGGCTCGGTAAAATGGTCAGCTGTCGCTTTCGTTACCGCTTGGTCCCTCTAAAAATACAAGTAGCCGCGCGAGTCTCGTCGCCCTTCCCCGCACTGAGTCAACTATAGGAACTCCGGGGCTAATTTTAACGGTCCGAACACTGTCCGCGCCTTCGTCCGAGTCTCGCGAACTTCGCGGCCTTGAGGAGCGTCGCAATGAAGCGCTTCCTCACTACCCAGCTCCCTTATTCTATCACTTGCGTAAGGGAAAATCTCTTTATCGTTAATGTATGCGTTGCGCAGCTATTTTGGCGCATAAATCTTGTCCGCACAAAGATCTGTAACACGTTAAAAGTTACAGAGAGTAAGGGCGCAGCTCTCGTCACGCTCCCTTTCTTCTTTACGGGGAAGCTGCCCCGAGTTCAATCGTATCGATAGTTTGCGCTCTGGATTTCTGGAGGCGAGTTCGTTCAGTTTGCTCCTTTGCTCTCACGAGTGTTTGCGAATTTGAAGGTAACGGCCAACGAGCTCTCAGGCCCGTTATCGACGAGCTTTCGCTGTGCGTCTATGTGTGCACATGTACTTACGAGGAAAAATATTTCGCCGACACAGCAAATTGTTGGTTACTATGAGGACAGTGAAAGAATTTGTTTGGACAGCAAAAAGATTTGTTTGGACGGGAAAAGGTTTGTTTCGAATATTAATTGTTTTTGTTGGATATATGGACGGCAAAATGATTTAGTTGTACAGACTAAATTTTAACGCCATCGCAACGACGCTTTGCTACAACAGGAAAATTATTTTTTCCGTGTAACGAACAGCTTTCTGCTGTAGTAACTAACAATTTGCTGTGCCAGCGAAATATTTTTCTCTGTGCACTTAATATATATATATATAATACGACTGAAATTTAGTTACCAGACTTGATTTTCAGCTGTGCGAGCTAAAAGCTACAAACACAAAGGGAATTGGCCAAATTAATTAAATTTAAATTAAAGTTTTATTATATGAACAACTGAATTTTATTTGTAAAAAGCTAGTTTTTAAGCTATGGAAGTCTCTTTTAAATCTTTTCCGTAATATGTTGTTGCAACCGAAAACATTTCTCTCTCTCTTTACCGTTTCAAACGTATCTACTAATTTCGCGAAATAGAATCGATCTTGCCTCAGTTGTTGTGGAAGTCATTGGCAAGCCGTTGGTCGCGTTCTCATCATGAAAGAAGAGAATCCATCTTTTGCAATAGAGGTGAAACGGGGGAACACGCAAAAAGCACACGCGTCGCGGATGTGGTAGTAGCGAGTGTAGATCACAAGAAGTTTCGCCGGAGAATTTTCCTTCTTTTTCTCTCTCTCTTTCGAAATATCATTAAACGTTCGGAGCACCCCTGCGCGCGAACGCTGCTTTTTCTTTTTCTTTTTTTTCGCAAATATTTGCTGCCGTTTTCCTGCAAACATAAGAGCCGCATTAGATACGTATGTTCTCGATGCTTAGATCACTTCAGATATTCTCGAGATAATAGCACGAGGATCATAGTACGCGAGGTATTACCTATGATATAAACAATTCTAGAGTAGCCCGTGACGTCAATCCGCGAAACGACTGTCGCTTATTTTGTTGACGTCGTTGTCGAGAGAGAACGGTAAATATATCTCGACAATTGCGCGAAGGATTCAGTACGATAGTGGTTTAATCTGATATTCTGAGAATTTAAATTAATCTGAATTGATCTACAATACTGATCGAATAATTGGTCCGAAGAAAAACGAATTAGAAACAAATTGGGATTTTGTTTCGCAAAATTATCAATGTAATGTCTGACGACGTGACTAAGTTAGATCATCGGTTGACTGTTTCATTTTCGTCGTAAAAATTCCCCGATGTCTACAGGATGGACGCGGTGAATCTGCTCTGTGATCGGCGAGGATCAGCGAGAAGAATTTTCCTCCGCTCGCGTCACGTTCCGTCAACGAATTTTAATAGTTTAACTTGTATATTTATGCACTTCCGTTTGCGAGGGGCAACTGGATAGAATTGAGGGGTCTTTTATTAATATTAATATATCATCGATTAATTCTGACCGATAATTCTACATTGTTGGAACACGCGCACATATTTAGAATTAAAAATTTTATATATATATATAATATTACTTGAGAATAATTGGCAACCGAGGCAAAAAACGTTTGTCTCGACTATTTTCACCGGTGGACGGCAGTCTCTGAAACGGTCGATACATCCAAAAGTTCCGAGAGGGGATAAATCACGCGGGTGCAGGTCCACGGATTAAGGATCGCTCTGAAGAGATTCCGAGAGTTATCCCGGGAGCTCTTCTTTCAGAACTCATCGGGCGCAATCGGGCTATCAAACGAGATAATTCAC